CCCCCCCCCCCTGACAAATCAAGATTCTTTTAAAAATTCCCCTCATTTGGCTTAAAGTAACCTCCCCCCCTTCCGATATCCCCCCCACCCCTGTCCACTGTAATCAGGACCTAGAGGTTATTTTTCAATTTTATTCCAACTTCATGATGATATGTCTATTCTAGATGAAGGTTAGACGTGTTGAGAGAAGAGTTGGTTTCCTCTACTTCCAGTCTTCTCTCCCTACCCGGAGATAAACGTTCCGAACCTTGCTCCGCGGATAATGTTTCCGCGCGAATTATTAGTTTGTTCTCTGCTTGTTGTTACAGGTATTGTTTGAAATGTCTCAGGGAGAAACTAATTCATTAGGAATAGTTAGAATTAGCGGGATAAGGTGAAACATTGTAATCTGTTTAAACACTTTATTCGTAAAATAGATTGAATTCAAAGGTCAGTAAGACATTTTCTCAAATGACTTTAATTAACATCAGTTGTGTTCGGTCTGAATTTTATTTTGAAAGGATATTTTATTTCTAGTTTGCGAGTTAGAAGGTTCTGATTTGATTCCAACAGTATCCCAGATATCTGGTTTGGCAAGCTGGCCTAACTCCGACTCTCATTGGTCCGATGTCCCGGGCTGGGCGGAGTGGGGTAAGGCTAAACGACAAGTTGACCCCCAGGACGGAGCCGCAACCTCTCCAGCTAGTAACTCTGCCCAATATCAGCAGGATGTGGGTCACTTCTCCACAAACAGTCCTCAATACTCAGCTGGAGCTGGACATGTAGGGTCAGGGTTTAAATCTTTAGGGTTCGGGTTCTCACAGGATCAAAGCTCTGCCAATCCTAACCCTCAGTATGGTTCTGGATATAACCGACCCTATGGACAAAATAGTTTTGGTTCTGGTTTGTCCTCCGCTCCATATAACGTACAGGGTACTTCTCAGTCTGCAGGATTAGGAGGAGAAGAACAGTATCCTTCTCCGTCTCAAGGTTCCCTTCCGGGACATTCTCAAGGATTTATGAATTTTGATATGAGATTAGATTCGAAACCCAACGCAGCTCCGTCCTTTCAAACTCCAGGGTCTCAGGATCCATATTCTTATTCTGGATACGCCAGGAATAGTAGAGGAGCTTCGGAAAATAAGAACCAGTTAAACCAACAGCAACAAATACCCTTCAACCCAAGCCAACAACATTTCCAACTGCATGAAGCTGTTGAAAAGGAGAAACAACATAATTTTAAGAATAACTATCAACAACAGCATCAAATGAATATTTTCAATCCTCTCCAGCTTCAGCAGTTCAGAACAAAGCAACAACAACAATCTCAAGGGTTCCAACAACAAGATCCGGAGGAACCACCACAGTTTCGTCCAGGAAACTATCAACAGATAAATTATCCGTTCCAGAATGGAGTAAATCAACCTTTGTTTCAGAATGGAGCAACAAGACACCAGTTTCAAAATGGAAACCAACAGCCTCTATTTGAGAATGGAGGTCAATCCCCGTTCCAGAATGGAGGAAATCAACAACCGTTTCAGAATGAAGGAATAGAATCACCGTTCCAGAATGGAGGACACCAATTACCTATCCAAAATGGAGGAAACCAACTACCGTTCCAGAATGAAGGAATCCAACAGCCGTTTCAGAATGGAGGAAACCATCCTCAGTTCCAAAATCCCTCCCATCCGCAGAAAAGAGGATCTGGAAACCAAGGAAATCAATTTCCACAACTTGGAAATCAGTTCCCGCCCAACGGAAACGTATTTCCTTCTCTGGGAAACCAAAATTCTCCCCCGAGAAACCAACTACTCCCTCGATTCCCCCAACCAGGAAACCAATTTCCCCCACTAGGCAACCAATTTCCCCCGCAAGGAAACCAATTTAATCCACAAGGAAATCAAAATTTAGGAAATCAGTTCAGGAATCCAAGGCAACAGTTTCCAAATCAACGGAATCAGTTTCCACCAGGAGCCAGGTTTCCTCCCTTAGGACCAAACCCAGGATCTGATTTGTTCAATAATCCCAATCCTGGAGTTCAGGAATCCCTTCTTGTAACTGGAAATCCCTTTGCTACCGGTGAACCACTGGAGATAGAAAAAGAGGGAAATTTAGGTGGTGGAGAAGGAGGAAGAGGAGGAGGAAGAGGGGGAGGAGGAGGAAGAGGGGGAGAAGGAGGAAGAGGAAGAGGAGAAGGAGGGGAGAGAGATCCATTTCCCAACAATGATAAACTTCCTTTCTTAGAGAGTGGACAACCTGGTATTGAAACCAACCAAGTTGATGATTTCAACGAGTTTCAAGATATTAAAGATGATTATCCTGAATATGGTCCTGGACTAGATTATGCCAATAATGGTCCTTCGGGACTTGACTACGATGGTAAAGGACCGAATGAATATGGCGGACCAGATTTTGGTTCCGATGGGCCCAGAGAATCTGAGGAATCAGGTTCTTATGAAGGAGAAAGGTTTAACTCCGGTGCTCCTAAGGATTTTAAGGTTCCAGACTTTGGTTCCCCAAACCCAGAAGGTTCTGAGGGCTTTAGAGGCAACGGAGGTTCAGGCGAAAGAGGTTTATTGGGAAACCGCGAAGTTCCTAGAGGTTCCGGTAGTCAAGATAATTCTGAAGTGAAAAAATCAAGTTCTTCAAGAAAGTATGATCTAAAAAGAGGGAAAAGATATGGACCAGGAGAAGGGAAAAGATACGGACCAGGAGAAGGGAAAAGATTAGAACCTGCTTCATCAACAGAACCAGAATACGGAAACAAAAAAGAAACAAATTCGTTTGAAGAAAGAAAAAAATGGAAGAAACCTGGAAAATCTCAAAAATATTCTAGAAACTTTGGGTTTGAAAGGAGGAGACGTGCAAACCAAACTTTAGACATTACACAAGTCTCAGATCCCTACAGTTCAACCCCCACATCTGGGGAAGAATTTAGTTCTGCAGAATTCCAATTTGATTTCAAAGAGAAGAATTTTAATAATGAAGGTTCAGCATCAGAGAATGTAAATGGAGGATATGAAGGAATGCAGGATGAGGGTAAAATGTCTAAACACCCGGATTTTGATCAGATGGAGAAAGATTTTGAGAAATTTTCATCCGGAGATAAAAATTTCTACGACAAGGATCTGGCAGCGCCCGGTGAGGATTTCTCTTTTGAACATGGCGACTTCTCAGACTTTGAAGGAGTAACCAACTCTTGGAGTGGGAACGGATTCAAAGACTTTGAAGGGGCTAAAAATGAGTTCAGTGAGTTTGAGGGTGCTAAGAGCGGATTCAGTGAGTTTGAAGGATCAACGAGCGGATTTTCAGATTTTTACGACAAGAAGGGATTAGCTAAACCTACAGGATCAACAGAAATTATGCCAGGAGGTATCAGCGGAGAGGAAACCACGTCAGGAGAAACTCCTTCTGTGCCTTCTCCTGGTCCTGGTAGATATAGGAAAGGCAAGCAGATCTATGATCAAAAGAATGCTTCAAGTACACCCTGGATACCTGTTGTAAAACACAGTTGAATACAATTTATATTTAATAATTTCTACACACACCTGAACCCTCTCTCCCTAAAAACTTTTCCATTCTTTCATTATATTAACTCATAATTCAACTAATTTTTTTCTCTTTCAAAGATTCTCTTTTAAATTATTCATTTAATTTTAGAATCCATATATATTGTTCTCTGCTAAATTTTTTTCAAACAATTCATAATTTCACTTTGTTATAATTTTTCAATGTCTTAATTTGTTATTTTTGTTATTTATATTTATATTTAGAAAATATATATTTATTGTTATTATCCATACATTTTCTTAGAAAAAAACATCGTCAACCCATAACAATTTAAGTTTGAAAAAAAAAATTTCAGATAAAGCTTTTATTTTGTATAACTTGGAAATTTCTAATATGAACAATTTAACGCCGCCAACTTTATAATTCACAAAGTTTAAAAGCATATTTTGTAAAAAAAAAATACAATACAATTTTCGTTTTTCATTGAGAGATAAAAAGAAAAGTTTCTTATATCATATTTATGATGACTGACTGCACACAGGAAGAAATAAAAGTTATTAGGACTATTACGGGTACAGGGTTTCCCAATAAACATGGGAATTAAGAGCCGGCTTGAAAATCGTCTTCGATTTCCGATGGTTGATAAATGACAAAGGATATATTGTTGGTAAAACCTTTACTAATATTAGTACAACCTGTATTATTGTGACAACCTGTACTATTATTGGGACAACCTGTACTATTATTGGGACAACCTGTATTATTGGTACAACCTGTACTATATGGTACAACCTGAACTATTAATGGTACAACCTGTACTATTATTGGGACAACCTGTACTATTATTGGGACAACCTGTACTATTATTGGGACAACCTGTACCATTATTGGGACAACCTGTACTATTATTGGGACAACCTGTACTATTATTGGGACAACCTGTAGTAGATTATTGTAACATTACAACCAATTAATTCTATTCGTGGTTCTTAAAATCTACAAATAAAGATATCAATGCTTTGACTGTGAATTACTTTCTTTGATTTAGAATAATTATTTCATATTACAATAAAAAAATTTAAAAAACTGAAAGTTTACCGAAAATACTTAAACTTCTACAGTGTTACCCTCAAAGGATAAGACTGTAAAGACGACCTGAAACTCTTAACATATCACGATTAAAAGATTAAATTCAATATTCTACCCTGAATATAATCTTTTAGAGGCATATTCAATGATTTGGCAAAGAAAGAAAAGTTTAGAGCTGCTAGAAATCATGAACATAAGGAAACGGACAGTATATAAATTCCGTGCAGTTTTAAACTTTGTGGGAACACCCTAGGTATCATTTTTTATTCAATCTTGGCTTCGTTGTAATCCTGTATTTAAAACTTGGATTATGTAAGATTTGTAAGATTTCAATTGTTTAAACAATGTCTTTTAAAGGAACTGTTTTTGTAATTTCGAGGAGGGCGTTTCTGATTCTCGACAATACCCTTTAAAACATTTATCTTCTGAAGAATTTCAAGTTTAGAAAAATTTTAATCTCTGACAAAATCCGCCTCTGCTTCGTTTCTGTCACTTTTATACAGAAAACGCAATTAAAAATTATCAATTTTCTTAGTTTAAAACATTTAAATCTCATTCATTCTTAAGCATATAAAAACCTTTTAATCGAATTGTGAATCGAAAATGAACATTTTTTTTTTAAAAGCACTTTAGTTACATTAGTTAGATTAGTTACATTAGTTACATTAGTTACATTAGTTACATTAGTTACATTAGTTACATTAATTACATTAGTTACATTAATTACATTAGTTACATTAATTACATTAGTTAGATTAGTTACATTAGTTAGATTAATTACATTAGTTACATTAATTACATTAGTTACATTAATTACATTAGTTAGATTAGTTACATTAGTTAGATTTCTTACATTTTACATTAGTTACATTAGTTACATTAGTTACATTAGTTACATTAGTTACATTAGTTACATTAGTTACATTAGTTACATTAGTTACATTAATTACATTAGTTACATTAATTACATTAGTTACATTAATTACATTAGTTACATTAGTTACATTAGTTACATTAGTTACATTGGTTAGATTAGTTACATTAGTTACATTAGTTACATTAGTTAGATTAGTTACATTAGTTGCATTAGTTATATTAGTTACATTAGTTACATTAGTTACATTAGTTACATTAATTACAATAGTTACATTAATTACATTAGTTACATTAGTTACATTAGTTACATTGGTTAGATTAGTTAGATTAGTTACATTAGTTACATTAATTACATACATTAGTTACATTAGTTACATTAGTTACATTAGTTACATTAGTTACATTAGTTACATTAGTAACATTAGTTACTAAAATATTTCAGTTTTGAACTAGCTAAAGAACCCAGTGACAAAGCGTTGCCCAAGGTTCTCATAGTTGCTCCCGCTGTTTACCCGCGCTTGGTCGTAAATTTCCTACTCAACTTAGAATCGAAAAACCAAGCTACAAAAATTCGTGTTGTTCTCCCGATGATCCTCCCTCAATCAAAACTTGAGGCAAATCGATTAAGGGGTTCCTGAGTTATGATCGGAAATACAAGCAAACAGAAAAACAGAGATTATAATTTTTTATATATATATAGATGACAAGAAAACCATAAGTTGGAAAAAAATTAAATAAAAATATGTTAGAATAATGAATTAGAACAAAAAGTCTCTAATTTATTTTTGATTTAAGAATTTAAAACTTTATGATTTCAATGTTTGAAGTGTTGACTAATATCTTTATCAGTGTGTGAGTAAGGAGGGAGAGATAAGACCCAGTGTTAGTACAGTACCAGGAGTTATCTCAGTACTTCTCCAGGTATTGAACTATACACGGAGCTGGATAATTCCTCGTATTTCAAAACAGAATTGAGAATAAAGAATTAAGTTTCTAGTGTAAAGGCAGAAAAAGTTCCTTTCTTAAAGTGTAGTGGTTTAAAGAGGTCCTTGAGAAGGATGGATTTCCAGAATATCTTGGTGGTCGGAGGATCTGGGGCAGGAAAATCATCCTTTATCAGGTATGACTGATCGAAGGGGGGGGGGGGGGGGCAATTTGCTGAGATGGATGGGTCAAGTTACCTCTAGATTACAATTATAAAACAACCAAGGGCGGACTATAAAGGGGAGTCTGACCCCCCCCCCCCTAAGGAAATTCATGCTGTGAAATAAAGCATCAAGGGATGAGAGATAAAACAAATTTGTATTGAATAAATGACCTGAACTAAAATACCTTTTAAAAATCATACAGTGACAACCAGAAAACAATGGAATAGAAAGACGACATTATAGCAATAATTAAGCGTTTTGATGTTGTTCCAAATCAAACAGTTTTACTTGTAACTTAGAAAAGCAGAATTTAAGTGAAAAAGGTCTATTTACACTGTACAATTGCTATGTCTAATGTTCATTGAACTAGTTTAAATCCTAACTTGAGTTTAAAAGTCGTCTTCCTATTTCAGAGTTTTCTAGTTAAATGTTAAAAATATTCTACATTTATGGAAAATTTAATTTTAATTGGAAAACAGTTTAAATTCCTATGTAAAGTATGAATTGGACAGCGACTTATAAATTGTTTATTTCTTAATTACCGATAAGATACTTATGCTTAATCGATCTTATTAAAAATGTTTCATTTTCTATGTAAATCTCGAAATGTTATAATAATAAGAAACTGGAAATTTATTGCCTTTTGTTCAATTTTTAGGGGGAACCCAAAATATTTTTTTCTCCCCCTGAGATATTGGTGTAATCCGTCCCTGAAAACAACGAAATATCTATACCCATAAATACATATTCTATACCATATGACATGTATTTAGTATACAAATGTATTCTAGAATATAATTCTATACCATGTATTCTAGAATGTATATTCTATACCAATGTATTCTAGAATGCATATTACCATGTATTCTAGAATGTATATTCTATACCAATGTATTCTAGAATATGTATTCTAGAATATAATTCTATACCAATGTATTCTAGAAAGCATATTTTATAAACCAATGTGTTCTAGAATGTATATTCTATATACCATGTATTCTAGAATGTATATTCTATACTAATGTATCCTAGAATGTATATTCTATACCAATGTATTCTAGAATATAATTCTATACCAATGTATTCTAGAATGTATATTCTATACCAATGTATTCTAGAATGTATATTCTATACCAATGTATTCTAGAATATAATTCTATACCAATGTATTCTAGAATATAATTCTATACCAATGTATTCTAGAATATAATTCTATACCAATGTATTCTAGAATGTATATTCTATATACCAATGTATTCTAGAATGTATATTCTATATACCAATGTATTCTAGAATATATATTCTATACCAATGTATTCTAGAATGTATATTCTATATACCAACGTATTCTAGAATATAATTCTATATACCAATGTATTCTAGAATGTATATTCTATGCCAATGTATTCTAGAATGCCTGTTATATGCCATTGAATTCTAGAATACATATGCTTTATGTGATTTAGAATACCATGAATTCTAGAATGCATATCGACAAATTATAATACAGTTAAACCCTAAATATTTAATACATCGGTAGAATTTATCAAATGTCGCCTTAAACATTTTTTTATGGGTTTTGCCGCTGAGGATTTTATAACTAGAAGCATAGTATTCCTAAATCTCAGTAATTGTACTGTATGTACTGAAGCTGTCGTATATTTTCTCAAGTTGTCGTTCTAATCTGTAGGGGAGAGAAAGCTGCTCAAAGCTTAACAAAGGGATTTATGTAGCGTACTAAAACAATATGAAAAATTTCTTTGTTGAAACTGATATTTTTCCCGAATGAGAATTTTTTTGTCTCTTCTTTAGTAAAATTTTTGTAAAAATAAATAAATAGCTATGAAATATGCGTGGACTGTGGGGACATCTTTAATCGAGCTCCATATAAATATTCAATCAAAAATCCTAAACATTTGCGGCATTCCATTATCAGGAGATTTGGAGAACGACATTTGATAAATTCTTTGGATGTATTCAATATTTAGGGCTTAACTGTATGATACAAAAATATAGTTTCCAGACTATAGTTTAAAAAGTAAAAAGTATTTTATCCTAACAATAATAATTTATTCTCCACCAGCCCACATTAAATTATATTTTTACGAAAATATTTCCCCATTACTTAAATAAACTTCTTATTTGTATTGTATTATAAAGGTGAATTTTATTAAAAATAAGTGTTTGATAATTTTTGATTTTTGATAATTTAGATTGCTCCTTGGACGGTATGCTATTGGAGAATCCCGAGGTTTCTACACCCATGAAGGGTACCTGGATACATCCATCCCGATCAGGGTAATCGAATGTCCACCAGTCCGTGAGGAGACTCAGGGAGATTACTACTCTGCCATGGAAGATGCTGTTTCTGGATTAAATTCTCCGATCCATCATGTGATCGTGATTGTTAAATACAGTCCTCTCGGTTTCGGAGGGTTCAGATTGGACAAGGAGAAAAATATCCCTGAGTTGGAACTACTCACTCTCAGACGGATATTAGGAGATGGTCTTAGGGATATTATCACACTGGTTGTATCTAACTGGAGTAGACAGTTTGCTCGTATAGCAGATCGAAGACAGAAAGGAATATCCGAGAATATACTGATTGAAAAACTTAAAGTTGAGCTGGCCTATAGTCTCAGTATGACAACGGTTCCAATATACTTCATGGATACAGTATTCTGGAGGACCGAGCAGAAAAGTGGGATGGTTCCAAACACTCTACCAACCACCAAGGAGACCCTGGATACTATGCTGGAGGAGATGATGAAGACTCCAGGTACTGAGAGGAGAAAACCTATTCAGCAAACCATTAGGAACTTAGAGAAGGCGGAGACAAAACCTTTCAATCAGGGCATCAGTCACAAAGACAAAGTGGAGAAGCAACCCTTCAATCAGGGTATCAGACACCAGGACAAGGGGGAGAAGCAAACCTTCAATCAGGGCATCAGACACCAGGGCAAGGTGGAGAAGCAACCCTTCAATCAGGGCATCAGACAAAGACAAAGTGGAGAAGCAACCCTTCAATCAGGGTATCAGACACCAGGACAAGGGGGAGAAGCAAACCTTCAATCAGGGCATCAGACACCAGGGCAAGGTGGAGAAGCAACCCTTCAATCAGGGCATCAGACACCAGGACAAAGTGGAGAAGAAACCACCTCGACATACTCCGCAAAGAGGGGAAACATTAAACCAAACCAGAGAGATAAATGTTGATGATTTATCAAACTCCTCCCTATCCTCCTCATCTGACGATGAAATGGAGCAAACTATAAAGCTTGGAGAAAGATGGAGAAACAAAAAGTATCAGGATTTAGATAAAGTTGATCTAGAATCTTCTACTCTTTCCTTTCCAGTTAATAAGAAAGTAAATCTAGAGATTGTGACTCAACCAGAAAACCATATCAGACCTATAAGTAAGGAAGGGTTTGGAGAATATGATGTAAGAAGAGCAGTTCCAGCCAGGATAAGATCTAAATCTGGATCCTCAACATCCTCTGAGGGCTCTCTCCGGGTCCCTGTAGAACAGAAACCTATTGTGGAGAGGAGAAGTGTGGAGCTGAGCGACTATGTCGAGGCCAAGGTTAGGGAGATGATGAACAAGGAAGGAGTTACTCTAGACTTTACAGACAATAAACTCAGAGGGAAAATTGTTACAAGAACAACCATAATAAAAGAGATATCAAGGAACGGACAAAATGAATTTATTGAAGATGAACTCATTGATGAAAAACACTTTGGATCAGAACTTGATTCCCTGTCAAGTAAGAGCTTTAGTCATTACGATGATAATTCTAGATCTGAACCTGTGTTTGATATGGGTTCTCCAGTTCTCTCTTCAACCTTCAACCGTCCCACTAGGGAGAAAGATATAGTCCAGACAAGAGAGATAAAAATCGTCCAAGAGGATGCAAACTCTACTCCACGATACTCTCAGAACCGCTCCCCCTCCCCCTCATCCTCTTCATCGTCCTCAACCTCTTATGATTCTAATGAAACCATCGAGGTTATCCAGATACCCCAGGATAGACTGAGTCCAGTTTATGCAGACCTCCGAAGCTTGGATGCGGTCGTAGTTGTTCTCGGAACAGAACCCAATATATCTCATATTCAGTCCTACCTGATTAGGAACAATGTGAGCAGGATCATCTGCTCTGCCATAGACGGAGTAAACGGAGAACATTACGAAGGCCTAGCCAGTAAACTGTCTCCTGGTGAAAAAGTTGTATTTATCTGGGCAGTCGAGACAAAAACAGGAGAATTCTCCGAGGAAATGGTTTATATGTTTGCAGATTTTATTGAAGCATTCTCTCCAGCTGCCATTGATAGTATGGTTGTTGTTCTCTGGCATCCTGGATCTATGGGAGATATAAGAAGCAGCGTTGAGGATCTTACCAAAATGTTTGAGCACAGTTTAGAATACCGTTCATCCATTGGATTTACAGTTCTTCATTTCAAACCTATTCCAAGATTTTATGAAACACTTTCTGAAAAAATATTAGGAATACCTCCAATGGTCTTTACTGCCTTTGATTACAGGACTGATAACTCTGAGAGAGTAGAGACTCCGGAGAAAAACGGATATAGTTCAGTAAAGAAGGGACAGCCCCGGGTGGAGCGAGGTTTTACCCCGGAGCATAGGGTTTACAGCCCGATAGAGAGGGTTAAACACTCCGAGGAAAGGATATCAAGTACAATAGAACAAGGGCATACTGTAGAGAAAAGGACGTATAGTCCTGTAGAAAGGGTTTACACGCCGGAAGAAAGAGTTCCTAGCCCAGAGAGTTATAATTCAGTAGAAAGAGTTGATTCTGTTCCCGCAAGTGTTTTATCACAGGAAACCAGGGTTTGGACAAGTCAAGACAAGGTTGATTCTCCAGTAGCCCTGCTTGTAAGCCCCCCAGGACATGGTAAATCTAGTGTTGGAAACCTGCTATTAGGTCCAGGACACTTCCAGGTTAGAGGAACAGCTATAGGAGGAAATCAAACCTTGCAGGCTAGCACAGGATTGCTGTTCGAGGATGAATGTAAGATCACTTGTATAGAGTCTCCTGGCCTCTTCGAGGATGGTATAGATGAGAACGGGGTTCAAGAGATGGAGAAACATCTCCGGAGTCTGGGGTTCATTACTAATCTGATAGTAGTCTGGGATGCTCTGGAGTTTAGAACAGAAGATCTAGAGTTTGTCCTCAGCTCTGCAAAAGATATATTCGGAGACCGCATTCTAAATTATCTTTTATTTGTTGTCACTTTTTGGGACACAGATCAAAAGTCTAAAAAGGAGAGGAATAAACGGAAGATCACAATGTCCACTTTATCCAACATGATTTATAACAAAGTAGAAAATATTTTTGGTTCTGCTCCGGATTTACCAATTTTCTTTGTTTCTGCCAAAAGCCCAAATGATCAAAGTCGAGACGATCTTGCAAACTTCCTGAGCTCGGGGACCTGGGAAACTTTTGGAATTCAGCACATGAAGCATTGGGTTGATCATATCAAGGTGTTGGGATCTACTGACGTAGAGCTCCAAGATCTTCCAGATGACGGAAATGATTATGAAGATATTAGACGAGCATCCTCTGTGATCAACGCCTCGCAACTAAATAAATCCAAAAGCCTTCACAACCTTGCTTTAGAGGACACTTTACCTAGGAATGGAAAGGGGTTTGGAGGAAGTATGTTTGGTTTGCAGGGAGCGAAAACTACTCCAAGAAAAAGGATAAATAAGAGTGCAGAGAGAACTCCACAAGAACGAACCCGCTCACCTTTCGGAGGTTTCAGTACTCCAAGGAAGGGTCGGGATAAGGGAAACGCCACTAATCTGGTTCGGAAACGGTCGATGAGTCAAGGAAACTTACCTTCTCTAGGTAGGGGTAGAGGTAGATCTCGTCCTGTTATGATGCACCAGAAGTCTGTGGATAACGTTTATGTTGACGATGTATTATCACCAGGGAAACTGGAACACGGAGGAGAACTTGAACCCGAGATTGGATCCAGGTCCAGGTTTCAGGATGAAGACTCTATCCTGACCGATAGTAACTATCAAGACCCCGGTGAACTAGAGAACAGAAGACAGTCTGAGACTAGAACTAGAACCACAAGAGGACGGAGAAGAGTAGTAAGTGGAAGCAGTCTTACCCTAAGCCTGAGAGGATCATCTAAGGATCGGAGAAGAGGATCAAGGGCGAACCTTAATGAGAGTATTACTGTCTCTAGACCAGATTTATCTACCAACCCTAGAGAACAGTCTCAGGAGAGAAGGAGAGCAGGGTCTAATGTAAGTCTTAATCGTAGAAGACAATCAGGATCAAGAGGAGATCTTTTCAATCTTACCCGTAGAGAACCTTCTCCCGGAGCTAGACGAGGATCACGTTCCAGCTTACCCCGGAGTAGGAACTCTAAGACTAGGATATCTCGTGGAGACGTATCCAGTACTGAACCCCAACCTGAGAGACAGCTCGGTAGACAGGGTAGGTCTAGATCAAAACAAAACCTGGTGAGAAACAATCCAACCTCCCCCAGGTCCAGAGCAGGGTCTAGACCACCACCCGGAGAATGCACTATTCTCTAAATGCGACATTTATCTTATAACTTCAAAATGTTTTGACATTAAATAGATTCAATTTATCAAACCTAAGTACAAAAATCATGTCATGGAGCATATTTACATTTAAAAATCAAGATTTAATTATTTATCGAAAACATTTGAATCAACTGTTCTAATGGGCGAATACTTAATAGATTTTAAAACATCAAAGAAATTGAGTCTTTGTCACAAACTCTGATTTTTAATCCGTATATCCGAGCAATATTGTAGACCTTAGATATTACAAACATTAACTTCCGTTATGTTAAAATGTAAAAGGTGTACACCATCAGGTTGCACATATATAGGCATTAGAATATTTGATTTTGTGGCAAAAACTCAATTCCTTTTTTATTATCATTTTTTTCAACGCCCTCTTTTTGTACAAAATATACATATGTAATTGTAATGTTATAATTATATTTTATTTTAAACAATGAAATGGAATCTGTAAATTGCAATTTACGAATTGTAAAGTACTCTATTTTACTGTAAATATTAAAATTCTTTGTAAATTATCTGTAAAAAGTTTTAAAATGCGTAGTTCATAAAAAATCGTTATATTTTTTCAACATTGACAAATTGTTTACTCAAGATAAGAACATTTATTCCAGTTTGCGTATCAATACATTCGTGGCTGTTTTATTTGTAAATGTATTATTATGAAATCAATTGAATAATAAATGAAACATTGAAGACGACATAAAGTGGAAATGTCGTCAATTAATCCCAATCGCTGAGCCTGCAACTGTGTTTGTACTGTCCGACAACCGTTCTTGTACTGTACTTCAAATGGATTGTAAACAAAATGTCTTGTTTTTGTAAATTTTTTAATATTGACTTTTGAATAAAATAAAATATATCCATCATCCATGTATGCAGTAAATAGTTAGTTTTTAAACTATGACATTTGTTGAATTTTTTTTCTAAAGAAAAGAAAAGTGTAATAACTATATTAAGAGGATATTTCACTACCTCTAATATACTGTGTAAGAGCCACCTATAAAAAGAGAGAGAGAGTCCCCTAGATTTTCCTTTTTAAGCTCCCTAAACACATCTCGAACTGCGCATAAGATATATTATCAAATATTACAATTCAAAATTAAAAACTGCAGAAACATATTAATTTACGTAGTTACAAAATGTAAAAACTAGGATTGGTTGGGTTTGGGTGAGGTCGGGCACAGGATCAATAAAGTAGATTGACTACCTTGCTACATTTCTTTTATACCTCCTTGACAGTGTTTAATTTGTTATTTAGGAAGGAAAACCACAGAATATTTGTTTATTGATCATTCTGTAATTACGTTTAACTAGACTAATATTTATGCAACACCCACGGAATCGGTTAAACGGACCATAATTTAAAATGTGAAAATTTTTTGTGAAACTTTAAAATCTTCAAGAAAATTGTATATTTTCGTTAAATTATTTTTGATTTTCTGTGGTTTGTTTTTATGCTTTTGATCAGGCTTTCCCAAGGTTGCTATGGTTCATATAAACTCAATATATACAGGATCATGGAGATACACGCTAAACCTCAACCTTTCTAGTTAGAAAACCAAACCAAAGTGTTTATTGTGTTTTAATGAGCCTTCATTGTATTCTTTGTTGTTGTTTAAGACTGGATAAAAGGAGTTTTTGCCATAAAATCAAATGTTCTAATCTCTATATATTTGCAATTTGAAAATGTTAACCTTTGATATTTCTTAGACTATTTGATCTAACAGAATTACTATGGTTTGAAATATCAAAGATCTTATGATATCAGGTTCAAAGATATAAGAATAAAAAAATTAGTTTGTGGCAAAAAACTTTTTCTTTTTTCGAAATGATAAGATTGCTATATACAACCATGGAACTTGAGAACAGGTTGAACACATTTTTATTTTGAACTTAAAGCAAATTCCAAGATTTTTTTGATCAACTTTTATTTCGGATATCCATTTGTTGTCAGATTAATTTAAAATGTCTGATTCTCTGTTCGGGCAGCCTGCTCTCTACCAATTGGTGGAAAAAACGAACAAATCTGACGAAGAGAAAAAGGTAAATATTTTTCATCAAATCCTAACCTGACCCAATCCTTAATCAAATCCGAACCTGAACTAATCCTTAATCAAATCCGAACCTGACCTAATCCTTAATCAAATCCGAACCTGACCTAATCCTTAATCAAATCCGAACCTGACCCAATCCTTAATCAAATCCTAACCTGACCAAATCCTTAATCAAATCCAAACCTGACTTAATCCTTAATCCTTATCCGAACCTGACCAAATCCCTGATGTTAATTTTTATCTTTATCCTGCTTGAATGTCCCGAATATTAAAGAACTTGATCCAGGTCTGGATTTTATATGATCCGGGTCCGAACCTGATCTTCATATCAATCCGTATCCTTAGGGGCGTGCACAGGATTTCAGCCAGGAAGTGGGGGGCGAGATTTTTAGGTACATAAAAATCTCTATATAGGAATAAAAATTCAGAGGTATTTTAATATGGGCCCAGGATCACCTAGTGAAACGTAGTGAGCGAGATTAGGGGTTTTTATTTTTCAATAACATAAGTAATTTTAGCTTGAACTTAATGTTACAGCGAAAATTCGATTTTCCCTGAATTTGATGTTTTTGTATGGTACACAGAAATTTTCAAAGTTATTATCTCAAATTTTACAATGTAGGATGACACTAAATGTTGATTATTTAGATATTACTACTCGCATTCACTGATTTAGAATTGTCTGGACAAAATATTAAAACTGAGGCAATAAGTTTCTGCAAAATATAAGGAATAGAATTTTTGATACATTTTGGAACATATTATTTATTTATTTGTTACATTGTATCATGTATTTCTGTTCATCGATATATATTAAAGAACAACAAACCAGTCCGTTCAGAAATTCTTACCTAATTTTCAAGAAAAGATTTTACCAAACAAAGTAGCCCTTGTACTCCCATTTTAGGATACAGGCCTGGGGAAGAAATGTATTATAATATTATAATCTATCTAACTTGCTCCGGCCCTACTCCTTAATCAAAATTGCAATATTGTTCCTAATTCACCAGCATACAACTTTCCTAGTAATTTCTTTTTGGTCTTGCTTCATGTTCCTATTATTGACTACTGTTCCAAATTCATGTACAGTATGAATGACGTTATTGCACAATGCGCATATACGTTCCTAGTTCTTTAATTTTTGTTCCTAATTCATAGTTCTTTCATTTTTGTTCCTTAACAGTCTTTTCTTGTTCCATATATTATGTATTTCATTCATTGTTCTTGTTCTTATGTTTTTAGTGCATGTATAAAACTTCTATTTTTGTTCTTGTTCCTAGCTGGCTCAATAGTGAATGTTCCTCATTTGATTTTCCTAATCTAGTTTTTCCTTGTTTGTTCCTAACTCACCCCAAATTTTTGTTATTGTATTGTTCCATTACTTAAACCTAAAATGTTCATAGCTCTTTTTTTGCTTTCCTGTTTTTGTTCCTTATTTTAAGTACGGCATTTCTTCGTATCTATGATTTGATATATATCTACCAAGTTCTTTGTTTTTTTTGTATTTAATATCATAATTCCTTTATATAACTTGAAAAAGGGGAAAATACGATTAATCAAAGTAAGAACATTATTTGATCAAATTGGGAACAGATATCAGGTTCAAAGATATAAGAATAAAAAAATTAATTCATATAATCTTTATCATATTTTTATCTAGTGCTACGTCGATACCACAAAGAACGATATCCGTAAGATGGTCGCTGATCTGCCGATGGACAAGAAATTCAAGATTTCAATCGACGATTTCTGTCACACACCCATTCTCTCTGACGAGCTTTTCAAGATCATGGATAAGAACGATGACGGGATGATCTCTAAGGGCGAGCTGAAGCTGGCTAAGAAGCACATGTCGATGAAGGAGATTGATGAGATCATCAAGGAGGTGGACGCTAACAGCGACGGGAAGCTGTCCTACGAGGAGATGAAGATGATCTGCGCGAAGGTTGCGCTCAAGTCGGAGAGGAGAAGGAACCGAAACAATTAAAAATTTTAAAATCATTAATTAATTATTTTTTTCCCCGCAAGTTGTAAATTTATTCTTTCTGCTTCACTGAGAACTAGAAATTTCTGGAATAAGAAAAAGGCTTTTAGACGAAATTCCTGACTTTAAATATTGAAATTAACATGAGATACAGAAATTGTGCAATGTAAACAGACCCATTTTACTCAATAAATGGTTTTTGATGACGTCGTCCTATTCCACGGGTTTCTGGGTCTTACTGTAAGTTTATCAATTCTCTATTTTAATAACTTTTTTTTATAAAAGTAAAGAAAATATAAATAGTAATAGTTTGAATCAAAATACACTTAACATTAAATAATGAATTCAAGTATACTGTTTAGGTCAGTTTGTAGACTACAGTTATAGACCCGTAAAAGTGTGGATTACAAAGACGACTTTACAGCTGCAGTAGTTTCATCAGTAGCTTTAACATCAAGATTAAATGGGTCTGTGTACGCTGCACAATTACTGTGTTTCATGCTCGTTGGACAGTTTTAAATCATAACTTCGTCTTCTTACTCCACAGTTTTATAGGTTCTATTGTAAAATAACTTTTTATTGATCAAATTTAAATTCAAATTTTTTAACGCTTTACCAAGGTAAAATGATTGCAGGAAAATTACATCTTGGAATAAGTTGCCCACGGGTCGTAACATTTCAATAGAAAATAAATATATCTACGATATTTAAACCACGTTTTATCTTTATTTTGAATATAATCTTTTAAAGAAATTGGAATCACGTTCTTTAATTAATAAGTCAGAAGTTTTTGAACATGTATATATATATTTATTAAATTCGTCTGTGTTTTTTAATTATATTTCGAAGGACAGTTATTGTTAGTAAAAAAACTTTCCTATTATTCCTGTATTTTCCAAAGTATGATATCCTTCGTTGAAGTATATATCAAAATGTGGAAAAAATGAAATTTATGATAATTTTCTGTATCAAAAAAATGAATCAAATCAAAGAAAGATACAAAACTGAGACCACATTTTATAAATCCCAAGATAAGGAGAATTTGATGAATATTGTTTGGACTACAGGGTGTCCCACGAAACATGAAATTTGAGAGACGAGTTAAAGATCTTCTTGGATTTTTGAAACAATTTGCGGTAATCAATCATATGCCTTATTTTTAGAACTAAAAGTAATCAAAAAATAACTCTAGACCATGAAATTTCAAATATTGGTTTTTATGATTTCCGGAGATATTAAGAATTTGATAAATGAAAATCATAACGAATTCTTAATATGATAACACAAAAAAGACAGACCACAATTTGGAAATGTCAGGACTATAGGAATTTTGAGATTGTTTTTTAAGAATCATATATATAAAAGTAGATTGTTGAAGTAATGCCGCGAATTTTTCAATTAATCAAAGAAATTCTTGAATAAAAAACGTGTAGATGGAAGACGATTTATAAGTCGTTAATATAGACCCTCTTTACAATGGTTGATAATTTCATGTACAGACATAAATATATCAGTTAATTACAAATTTTACAATTCTTAGTAACATTTCTTTATTTAAAGCTAACAATCATTCAATAGTATACTTTAGTGATAATCAGAAAACTCTGAAATAGGAAGACGACTATTAGAATCGAGTTATAACTTTTTAAAGTCCAATGAGCATGAGACACGGCAATCGTGGATTGTAAACAGATCCATTTCACAAAATAAGTGACTTGATAAGTGTATTTCATTTGGAACAACATCAAACTATGTCGACGTCCTACAACATTGTTTTCACTGGATAGTAAAATTATTGTCGATTGAGAATCCATTTTCAATTCTCTATAGATCGGAAACACTGATTTAACAATTAGGTTCTTGTCCCTTTCGACCTTTCGATCACAATTTGATTTACTGAGCGTACATTTTTCCCTTTTATACTTTTAATCGGCGGATGTAAATTTTTAGATTTTTGAATTTTGGACCAAAAAAGGAAATTGAAAAAAGACCGAACACCTTTAGTCCCATAGTTAGTCCAGGGCGGGAAACTAATTATCTTTCTTAAATTTCCATGTCTCCTAAAGGGATTGTTCAAAATGTTATGTATTGAAATAATGTGAGAGATATTAGTAATTTAAAGAAACACTAGTTTATGCCGGCTGAGTCATGTCATGGTCTGTCATGCAAAATTAGGCCTGCAGTGCAACTTTCTGTAAACAGGGAAATCTGTAAATTTGTTATGCTTAATCCAACCTGAACCCAATATACTAATCTAATGAAAGGTTTTATATCTTTAAAAAACATATTTTAGTGGGCTTGTATTCGTTATGGCATGAACATTAACGGCCAGGTTATAATGCAAGGAAAGTTATTTCAGAGGTGTAAGCATCTTTTGTACTGCAGTATACTGTCTCTGGGCGGTATGTATGAAATACAAGACGGATGTCGAAGCCTGACATGGGATCATCTTTTACATAAAAAATAATGAAATATTCTGGTCATAGGAAACTATTATGTGTATTATCAAAATTTTTAAAACTCAATGCTTTTTATCCTCCTCGGATACTAAACAAACACTGATGCATCTATTCATGTTTACACATTCAATGCTTTTATCCTCCTCGGATACAAAACGAGCACTGATGCATCTATTCTTGTTTACAAATTCTGCCCAAAGGGAACTGGTTTTAATGTGTACGCAGAGTATACACGACCGCAATTAACTTTCTTTGCATAACACCCTTGCACTGATGCATCTATTCTTGTTTACAAATTCAATGCTTTTATCCTCCATGGATGCTAAAAGAACAAAATTTAATGCTTTAAACCTCCTCGGAAACAAAACGAACACTGAGGCATCTATTCTTGTTTACAAATTCCGCCCAGAGAGAACTGGTTTCAATATGTATGCGGAGTATGCGCAACTGCAATTAATTTTCCTTGGTTACCGGTAAGTTGCCCATGGCACGTACAATGCACGTCAAACTAAAGAAAATTGCAAGTTAGATTAAAATATGCTTTCAATCATAGCTCCTCTTATCGAACAGCTGTTAAAAAGGTCAACAATGTTCTAATATAGGATGTCCCACGAAACAGTTGGTAAATAGTTTTGAATGTCGTCTTCCATACACTGTACTAGATATTAAAGGCTGTTTGCAGTTTATTTCGTTTAAGAAATCTTTTGCTCAAGTATATTTTACTTTGAAATTAATTTTACTATAATATGACTCCTATATAATATGTTTATTATTGTCTTTGGTATTAAACAACTTAACAAATTATGGAAGAAGACATTCTAAACTATTTACCAACTTTCATGTTTCGTGGGACACCCTGTATGTGACCAGATGAACTTGCTTCTCAATACTTGTGTATAAAATGATAACTACTAAATCAAAACCGCCACAATATCAAAATTTGAAATACATAAGGTAAAAGAACAGTAAACCTCTAATGTCTCTTCACTTATAATAACACACAGATCAAACTACATATATATTTAAGGTATAAGCTAGTTTTTAAAATGGTACAAGCAGAAAATGTTGAAAATGCATTAAATATTTAACATCATATAGTGCAGGGTAAGTTTCAAAGAAAAGTTGGAAACGTGCATTATTAAACATAAAATAATTGTTTCATGAATTAATTAGTTCCTGCCAGGTATTCTTCATAGCTCAGCTTTCCATCCTGATCCAGGTCATAGTCCTGTATCACCTGACAAACAAGATCACAAAAAAATATAAATCATTGTTGTTTCAGGGACAAAAATAAACTGGGCTGAAAACTTTAGAATGTGATACCTTAATATCAAACGCTTAATCTGAAAATGAGAGAGTTCATCATTAAATGGCGCGCAATATTTCAAATTTCCCGGCTTCCCTGATTGACTGTTCTGGTTTCTCCTAACCCCACTCGATTGGATGAGTTATATACCCTTTTGTTAATACAAACTTAGGATTAAATTAAGAAGATTAAGCATTGATCTCGATATCCACAATTCTAAAACTTTCAGCTCAGAACATGTTAATAATTATAAATGTTCTAGAATTCACCTGATCAACTTCTTTCATCGACATTTTCTTCTTTGCAAGCTTGAGCTCCCCTTTGGTGATAAATCCGTCCTTGTTGCGATCCATTGCACGGAACGCGGCCTCACTTGTCACATCCAGGTACAAGAAATCCCTAAATATATAAAGACGACATTTGTATTTGCGCGGGAAACTTAGTTTGAATTGTGATTTCACCTTATCTTAATTTTGCCATCCTTGGTGCAGGGTAACGGGCCACAGACTCCTCTAACCTTTAGTAAGGTACACTATTATTAAAAGTTTTCAATTTATGTTGATCAAGATGTAGAGGGGGGGGGGGATAGGTACGGAGACAGTGCCCCATTGCCCCCCTCCCAATAGTTGTACGTCCCTGTTTGATGTAATTCTAAAAAGTCATACAATAATATCTTGTAAGTTTCAAGAAAACAATATAAAAAAACAAGCATGATATTTTATACAACATTGTAAATCTCAGTAGTCTTAATTAAAGCAACTTATTATACGCCAAAATAAAAACCAAATAAAAACGTAAAATGATTTTGTTTAAATCAGAAATGCCGCTATAGATTTTTTTATTTGTAGCTGGTAAAACAGGCATTTTTCTGCACAAATGTAAGGACTTATTTCCGAAATAGAACAGTTACAAATTTTAAACCACTTAAGAGCAAAGACGACAATCGTTTAGTTATTTGGGATTATCAATGTGCAATATTCACAGAACAGGTAGCATAGAACCAGCACTGACGCGGACCGCCCTGCCTGAGTGGCCCTAAAGGCCAATTTACTAATCATGCGACTGCATATAGGTGTATATTTCGTAGTTATCAATCAAATTGACCTGTAGAATTAGGGGACCATTGCATATGTTGTGCACATTATTGTCAGCACAAATTCTCTCCACAGTGGTTCCGGACAAGGGAGGTGGGCGTGGCTCGAATTTAGTCTTAGTAATTATGGAAAACAAATATTTTCTTTCTTTAAGCCCATTGTGCATTTTTACATAAATGTTGCGGCATTGAGCACTTTCAAACAACACGTACCGGCTTGTCAGACGCCGGTACGCGTCAGAGATGGTTCTGTATTAACTGTTCTGTGGTATTATTGTAAAATGCACGACCTCGTCTTTCCCGCATTCAATCCCATTCTGTAATTTCATCACGTTGAAAAATTCGTCTGGGGAGAGAACCTGAAGAAAAAGATATATCTTGATGTGAAGATATAGAATAAAGAGATATATCAGGATGTGAAGATGTAGAATGAAGAGATATATCAGGATATGAAGATGTAGAATAAAGAGATATATCAGGATATGAAGATGTAGAATGAAGAGATATATCAGGATATGAAGATATATAATAAAGAGATATATCAGGATGTGAAGATAAAGAATAAAGAGATATATCAGGATATGAAGATGTAGAATAAAGAGATATATCACGATGTGAAGATGTAGAATAAAGAGATATATCAGGATATGAAGATGATGTAGAATGAAGAGATATACCAGGATGTGAAGATATAAAAATATAGATTTTTCTAACGAATACACTTTTTTGTTTTTGGTCAATTCTAAAAAATTCACACTCACCCCTTTCTTGTCATGGTCGAACTTGAGACAAGAGTTCTCTATTTTATCAATTAATTCAGTTTCTTCTGCTTCTCCCAGAGCAAGCTTAGCAATTATCTACACAGGGTGAAGAAAATAAATTTATGCAACCACAGGGTAACTCAAATCTTGAATAACTTTACTAAAAAGTTTCTCATTAATAGAAAAGGTCGAGTCAAAGGCTGAAAAGATTTGGTGTCAGATTTTAAGTTTTAACAGATCATATACGCAACCAATCTAAAAACAGATCATATACGCAAACAATCTGAAAACAGATCATATACGCAACCAATCTGAAAACAGATCATATACGCAACCAATCTGAAAACAGATTATATACGCAACCAATCTGAAAACAGATCATATACGCAACCAATCTGAAAACAGATGATATACGCAACCAATCTGAAAACAATCATATACGCAACCAATCTGAAAACAGATCATATACGCAACCAATCTGAAAAAAGATCATATACGCAACCAATCTGAAAAAAGATCATATACGCAACCAATCTGAAAATAGATCATATACGCAACCAATCTGAAACAGATCATATACGCAACCAATCTGAAAACAGATGATATACGCAACCAATCTAAAAACGATGATATCCCAGAGGAGCCTGAAAAACTCAGGTTTGTTCCAACTATTATTTGAATTTAAAAAATTTTTCTTTTTTATTAGATATATAATTGATAATATAATTGTTGTTTAAGCACTAAATAAGTAGCGTCTAAATATTAAACCTAACATTTATGTACATCACTTTCTTCAACCTAAATTTTAAAATTTGAATTTTATGTAAATTTGTGCAGTATCAAGATTGGGATACGACTTCCTATGCAAACATTTGACTCTTTTTCATTCTTCTCTTTCATTAAATATGATGCAGTATGTTTGTTGTTGCACTGGTTTAATTGAGCTAAGTAATATTTATGTATTTTTTCCTGCCATCCTACCTACTCGTCCACTCTTCCAGGATCCTACTTGTGTTTAACTGGCTNAAATATTAATATATGACTACCTTGTTCTACAAATATTAATATATGACCACCTTGTTCTACAAATATTAATATATGACTACCTTGTTCTACAAAATATATGGCCACCTTGTTCTACAAATACTAATATATGACCACCTTGTTCTACAAATATTAATATATGACTACCTTGTTCTACAAATATTAATATATGACCACCTTGTTCTACAAATATTAATATATGACTACCTTGTTCTACAAATATTAATATATGACCACCTTGTTCTACAAATATTAATATATGACTACCTTGTTCTACAAATATTAATATATGACCACCTTGTTCTACAAATATTAATATATGACTACCTTGTTCTACAAATATTAATATATGACCACCTTGTTCTACAAAATATATGGCCACCTTGATCTACAAATACTAATATATTAACACCTTGCTCTACAAATATTAATATATGACCACCGTGTTCACCAAATATTGACCGAATGTGGAATATTTGAGGTTTTGTGTTAAAACATACCTTTGGTCCTTTCTACACTCTGCACTCCTCACTCTCTAGTCTCTACAGTTTGCAGTAGCTACGTTCTCCCTCACTGCCTTATAGTTACCAGCAAGTCGGAAGTATCAACAAACCAGCCTTGGATACAACATTGATCCCTGGATACAACATTGATCCCTGAATACAACATTGATCCCTGGATACAATATTGATCCCTGGATACAACATTGATCCATGGATACACCATTCATCCCATAGTTACAACATTGATCCATGGATACAACATTGATCCCTGGATACACCATTGATCCCATAGTTACAACATTGATCCCTGGATACAACATTGATCCCTGGATACACCTTTGATCCTTGGATACAACATTGATCCCTGGATACACCATTGATCCCTGGATACAACATTGATCCCTGGATACAACATTGATCCCTGGATACAACATTGATCCCTGGATACAACATTGATCCCTAGATACAAAATTGATCCCTAGATACAACATTGATCCCTGGATACAATATTGATCCCTGAATACAACATTGATTCAAATTGATCTCTGTATACTACTTCTTTCCCTTTATTTAAGATTCAGTTGTTTTATTTAATCTTTCTTTTCATTTTAAAATTCTTGGCATGGTATGCTTGAGTACAACCTTTACTAAATGCTGTACAATTGTACAGTTTACAATGAAAAAAGTAAACATCAAAACTTTAAAGATAAATAAGGGTCTAACTATAATTCTGAAATTCTAGGCAGAGCAAATCGTTTACTGAGCGTTTATCTTACATACATTTACATAATGTTTAAAAGACTAAAAAAAGAAAATAGATTATCACAAAAGATGGCAACAGAGAAATGGACAAATTAAATATGACGTCACAAGTGTCACAATTATATTAATGATAATTTGTCTGATACATAAAACTGTTGACACGTGCAGTGATGTAAGAAATGAGTGTCAAATTCTACGTTGGTATTTATTTTACTTGATAATCTATTTGATAAAAAGTATGTTTAGAACTCAAGCTTCTTTGATACTAACAAGAGATTCTTAACAGGAAGCGGGGGAGGGGGGGATCGTCGATTTTTTTGTGGTGAAAAAACTTTTTTTCCATAATAAAATCCTAGAATTGTAAATTTCACTAAGAAAATGTAATGTCATTTTCACTGATGATGACTTAATAATTCCCGTTTTCAATCATGTTACACAATATACTTAAAATTAAACACTTTTTGATTTTCAGATGTTCTTAAACATAATGAATTAAAATATAAAGTGAAAATGCTGGATAAAAGGAAATATTATTTAAAAAAACTTTCATGTTATTTCTGCCTCAAATTGATTGAATTACATTTGGCAGGTTTAATTTCAAAATCCTAGTAGCGACTTTACGCCTATTTAAAAAATTGACAGACAAATTCTTTTCTACTTTTTCCTTTTATTTCTTGTTATCATTGTAGAAAAGTACATTAAAAAATAACAAACAAAAAACAATATTGTTCTGGGTGATCAGGAAGTCTTTGTCTATGCCCCTGTTGTCCCTGCTGAACGAGGACGGAGAGGAGCTACCTGTACACCTAGAGGATATCGAGGAGAACGAGGTCTTTCAAGGTAAACCTTTTTAACTATCTTCTTAAAGAGACTGTTCATGCATTTTTGAGTAAAATGAGAAATTGTGAATTGGCGTAGCTATCAAAGAAGGAGGGGGGGGGGGACTGGAACAAGGTTCTTATTCATTGTGAAACTCAAGAATCAGAATATTCTTATAGTGTCAACCAGACAACTCTGGAATATGAAGACGGCTTTTATAATTAGGTTATAACTTTAAAAAGTCCAATGAGCATGAGACATTATAGCAATTAGCAATTTTGCAGTGTAAATAGACCCATTTGACTTTAAATTAGTGACTTACTAAGTGTCTATTAAAATCATTTCCTTTTTAACATCATCAAATACTCTGAAGTATCGCTAAAACGTCGTCTTCCTAGTCTATTGTTTCTTGTTTATTACTGGACAAAAAAAAACTTTAAAAAAAAATTGGAATCCCTTTGTGCAAAAGTTCTTGTTAAGCTAAAAAACATAACATTTTTCCGTTCAATTTTTTTCGTTCTACTGAATTAATTTGAATTTGAAACCTCTCGTTTTTTGTAAATAGTTTTCAAATTTTTATAAATGACATTTTTTTCTTTTTTAAGACGCACCCATCATCTCTCCGCTAACTCCCAAGCTCACCCCCACAATCAGAGCTCAGAACCTATCACCATTCTGGCTTAGGCAACATATATTATTTGAAAAATTTAATTTTTAAAGGGAGTGTTCACATTTTTAGCGAGGCAAATTTGATTGGTAACATATTTATATATGTTGATATGGTTTCTCTGTTATAGTGCAATTTTAGAAAACTCAAATCTTGAAGGAAATAGTACAAATCTATTCTTAAACTGTGTTAGTATTATTCCCTATTCTCTTTCGATCAATGAAATAACGTAACGTTCATTTTCATGTTTTTTATAAACTGTTCAAAATATGATTGTTCAAATAATTGATTTTCTTAGTGGTGCCAATAACCTTCCACTTCCACAGGTTATGTTTAAATCAGCTGAAAATTTATGTATTTGAAATAATGAATTCATTACAACGATAATTAATTTATGCTATCATGAAATTTCACTATAATTAAACTTGAAATTTTTCAATTGTTATACCTGATATATTTTTCTTTTATTTCTAAAAGAAAGAAGGAAGACGACAATTATCAACGTTTAATTGTTAATCCAGAGGTTGGATCTTTTAATTGGAATATCGTCAATATTAAACACTTTATTGAACACTTTATCTTGATATCCAATGTGGGCACTTTCATAAGGAATATTAGATAAAACCGTAGGTCTGCATAAGATGGAGATCAATGTTGTACATATTTACTAAATTACTTCAACAGGAGTTTTCCAAGAAACTTTTACAACACTGCTCATGTTGTTTATGAAAAATCTATTTTTAAAAACCGGTTCATAACGCCACGTTTTTAGCGCTATTATGTAAAAATGTTTAAAAATTTAAAAATCTAGATCTCCGGATCGACAGGAGATTCACCTCTAGATCCACTTCGTAGTCCTGGAGCTGGAGTAGGGTTCTCTATGCTCCATGCTGCAGCTATAACAGGAGACTGTTCAGGACTAGAGAAGGTTATTTTAATTTTAACCTGAATAATATTATTTAATAAAGATTAATACAAATATGCAAAAAAAACCTCTGCCTTGTTTTTGAGGGCAATTTGTAGAATATTTGTTTTAAATAATCCTAAAATTTCTAACTTTCTAGAGAGGGGAAAATATACGGAGTTTATATTATTTTAGACCTAGAGTTACTCACAAACGATGAGACTTAAATGGTATTTATTGAAATAACAAGATTACAGCTATGCTTTGTGGGTTAAATCTATTAAAAACTTCTTAACTCTAACTAAACATTTTTTGCCATTATTTACCAATGAAGAATCATTAAAAGAATTGTATTTAGCTTGCGAGCGGAAATTTCTGTGATATTGATTTACGAGATAAATTTGGTCGAACTCCTCTGATGTACGCAATTCTTGGAAACTATCCAGCTTGCGTAGATATTCTTCTTCAGAATGGAAGCAATGCAACATTAGGTAAAATTAACGATAATCATTTTATGCATAAAAGAAACATACAACCATAACCACAGAAAAAGGATTGTGCCTACGTGTAAGGGAAGATGACCATTTCCGCACAGAGTGTTTCTCAAATTTTACAATTCTAAAGCATCAAATGTAGGTCTTGTTTTTGTTTTTTTAGACAAAATTTTAGAGTGCAAACTGTACAATGTTCATTCATTACATTCATTAGACACCATGTTATATAAACATACATTTAGTAGTTAAGAGACATCTTGTACATTTTATTATTTCCTACATTGCTATTTGTATTTTTAAAGCTTAGCCAAATATAGATATTTCAAATTCGACGGAAATTTTGTTTGTCGGAGTATCGAAACTCTTGAACGTTTGATTTAAATATATTAAAAGAATTTATGAAATGTCATCTTGACAATTTTTTAATGGATTTTTATACTATTTTACGTAAATCTCAGTATTTGCGAAAATATATATAGCCATGAATATACAGGAACAGTTTTAAAAGCTTCATATAAAACTAAATATCTGAAACATTCCATTATCAGAAAGTGAAGAAAACGGCATTTGATAAATTCTTCCGATGTATTTAATATTTAGGGTTTAACTAATGTTTAATCTCTTTACTTGAAGTTAATACTGCACAGTATGACCACCATGGGACATCGAAGAGGTTGTACTTGGTGGAAACGTGAAATAGCTTTAGAACCGGGATTGAATAAGATGTGCTTGTACACCGAATACTTTGTTTTTTGTGAAGTACCTCACAATCTCAAAAACGAAGCAAAAAAAGTAATTTAAAATTTTTTCTAGTGGACAGCAGTGGTAGGAACAGTTTACACTGGGCAGTGCATCATGATAATTTCGACTGTGTTCGATCAATTCTCAGGAATATGATCAATCAATTTATTAACAAATTAATTAATCTATCAACTAATCAACAAATTTATCAACAAATCAATCAATTTATAAACAAATCAATCAATTTATCAACAAACTAATTAATTTATTAACTATATCAACTAATATATCAACTAATCAATGAATCTATTAATTTATCAACTATATCAACTAATATATCAACTAATCAATCAATTTATCAACAAATTAACTAATTTATCAACTATATCAACTAATATATCAACCAAGCAATGAATCTATCATCAAATCAACCAATTCTATCTTTTTTACTTTCTGAAAATAATGCCAGAACTTATTTAAAAATTGATAATAATTTTTACTTTCCTGCAGTTTGCAACGCTGAACCCTGAGATAAGGTTTTTTAGATTTCTTTGTTCAATACCTCGCACGATATTTAGGTTTAAATTCGCTTTAGTAAAATCTGAAAATAACATAATTTTGATAAATGTGTGCCTTGCAATTTTTGCTCTAATTTTCAGAAGAAGAAAGCGAATAATAAAAAATGTAAACAAATAAAAATACTTTATTAAAGGAACTTTCGACGTAATTTCAAGTAATCCTCCATCTTCAGAGATACATGCCTGATTCACAACGATACCCTTTAAACTTTCATCTGAGTAGCAAGGAGTAAGATAAATTCGTTTTTCTATCTTAAGATTGAAAATTAGAAAAACACTAACAGGATATCTTCTACATTTTTGCTGAGAGACAGATTTTACAGTTGTAAATCGGACATATGTAACATATTTAAATTCAACTTGAATTTATGTGGACAGCCCCTAGGCGCTATGAGCTTTCCCCTGCAGGAATCCATGTGTTTAACAAATACTTGATTGAGAATTATTTAGCAAGGTTAAGTTAGACTGGAAAACACCGGATCAGGTTGGAATTCATATCTAGAATTAAGTTTAAATCAATATCTACACTTTATACATTATTAATGGAATTCTCACCAAACCTTAAATTTAATCAAGGTTTCATCAACGACTCGCAATGTTTTTCCTTAAACGTTTTTTTGCACAAAAAAAATATTTTGGCCAAGACATTTTTTTAAAATGGTTTGTGAACTTCTACAACACAGGCAAGTAAGAAGAGGGCCAAGATTTATGTAAACGATAAGTTTCTTATGAGTAAAGGGTACTATTGAGAATATTTCAACCTCTTTTAAATTGATTTTATCTTAAAGAGTAATAACTAGTTGTTTGTTTAGGGAGGGGTAACAATTCTCCATCTAGCTGCCAGGGAAGGTTAAACTTGATATAGAATGGAAAAATTTGTCCAAATCAAACTCCTTCAAGACATGTTAAAAGGCCACCTTATCATTAGCAGCCATATATTATATTATTGATTGTGAATATTTCAAAATCAATCTCCATATTTATGAAAGTTTCAAACTAAGGAATCCAAATGTCCTACATGTAGAAAACACTGGTATAAAACATTTCAAGATAAAAAAGGTAAACATATAATATACAGTAGTAAAACATATTATAGTGGAAAATTTTTTTGTTTTCTTATTTTTCTTCTGATAAAAATGTCACTGAGATTTGTACTTTGTATTTGTTAAAACTATATTTCAAATATTTAGTTTACATCTTTAGAGACAATTATAAGACAGAACTAAATCGACAATTATTTCGCTTTTTATTGGTTAATACTTATAATAAACAGAACCGAAATAAAAATCTTTAAAAATAGAATTATCTTATTATCAAACATTTCAAGTAAAAGTTTATAGCGACCATTGTTAAAGTTGTTAAGTTTTTGTTCTGTCCATTAGCAATGCGATGCAACTAAGGTCTTAATGATTTTTTTTCTGAAAAGGTTTCTGGCAAATCTTTTACCTTATAACAATTAAACTTACAAAATAATCTTTGCTTAATAATATATTTAATAATATCGAATAATACATTTTAACTTTATTTATGTAAACTAATATTTTTGAATGTTTTAATATAGTTTTTTATAGTGATGTTGATGTTGTTGATGTTTATATTACTATATATATTATATTGTGATGTTGATGTTGTTGATGTAGATATTACTGTATACATTGTAGAGTGCTGTTGATGTTGTTGATGTAGATATGACGGTTTATATTGTAGAGTGATGTTGATGTTGTTGATGTAGATATTACTGTATATATTGTAGAGTGATGTTGATGTTGTTGATGTAGATATTACTGTATATATTGTAGAGTGATGTTGATGTTGTTGATGTATATATTAATCTACATATTGTAGAGGGATGTTGATGTTGTTGATGTAGATATTACTGTATATATTTTAGAGTGGTGTTGATGATGTTTATGTAGATATGACCGTATATATTGTAGAGTGATGTTGATGTTGTTGATGTAGATATTACTGTATATATTGTAGAGTGATGTTGATGATGTTGATGTAGATATTACTGTATATATTGTAGAGTGACGTTGATGTTGTTGATGTATATATTACTGTATATATTGTAGAGTGATGTTGATGTTGTTGATGTATATATTACTGTATATATTGTAGAGTGATGTTGATGTTGTTGATGTATATATTACTGTACATATTGTAGAGGGACGTTGATGTTGTTGATGTAGATATTACTGTACATATTGTAGAGGAAGGTTGATGTTGTTGATGTATATATTACTGTATATATTGTAGAGTGATGTTGATGTTGTTCATGTATATATTACTGTATATATTGTAGAGTGATGTTGATGTTGTTGATGTTTATATTACTATATATATTATATTGCGATGTTGATGTTGTTGATGTAGATATTACTGTATACATTGTAGAGTGATGTTGATGTTGTTGATGTAGATATTACTGTAAATATTGTAGAGTGATGTTGATGTTGTTGATGTAGATATTACTGTATATATTTATAGTAATGTTGATGTTGTTGATGTAGATATGATCGTATATATTGTAGAGTGATGTTGATGTTGTTAATGTAGATATGACTGTATATATTGTAGAGTGATGTTGATGTTGTTGATGTAGATATTACTGTATTTATTGTAGAGTGATGTTGATGTTGTTGATGTAGATATTGTAGAGCGATGTTGATGTTATTGATGTTGTTGATGTATATATTGTAGAGTGATGTTGATGTTGTTGATATAGATATTACTGTATTTATTGTAGAGTGATGTTGATGTTGTTGATGCAGATATTACTGTATTTATTGTAGAGTGATGTTGATGTTGTTGATGTAGATATCACTGTATTTATTGTAGAGTGATGTTGATGTTGTTGATGTAGATATTACTGTATACATTGTAGAGTGATGTTGATGTTGTTGATGTAGATATTACTGTATACATTGTAGAGTGATGTTGATGTTGTTGATGTAGATATTACAGTATACATTGTAGAGTGATGTTGATGTTGTTGATGTAAACAAACGAACCCCTCTGCACTGGGCAGCATCTAACCTCAGACCTGAGCACGCTAAGCTACTGATCAAGCTCGGAGCTGATCTAGGGATTGTAGACGTGGAAAACAAAACCCCAATCCACTGGGCAGTTTCAAGGTAACATCTACATATTTTTAATAAAACAAGACATATAGCCGGCCAAACGGCTGGACCGATTGGCCTGATTTTTTTGTGGACACTCATGGGTGGCCGGGGGGTGTCATAGGCTAAAAAAATCGAAATTTTTTTTTCAAAATATTTTATTAAAAATATTTTTTATTTTTTTATTTTTTTCCACAGGCAACGCCTGGCCCTTCAGCTTATATATATTATATATACTTATGCATGAATTTTCCTAACTTTATGCTAGAAATTAAACCCTAAAGTTAAAGGAGAAAAATAATTATAAAAATTTATACTAATATCATACATGATTCCCAACAGTACCATAAACATTTAACATCATGTCAAAACCAAACTAGAATTAAAATTATCAAGAATCACTGAAATAAAAATGAACTAGAGAGAAGTTTCTAATTTTATCTTTATAGCACTGGACCTGATGGAAAACAACTTGTAAACCTGCTGATTAAAACTAAACCTCTGTCAGTAATCAATTGGCAGGATTATGAAGGTCGAATGCCACTACATCTTGCGGTCATTCATACAAATATAGGTATAAATAACATTTAGATACATATTAATATCTTGTAAAAAATGTGTAACTTTTTGAACAATTTTACAGAGATAGTTTCAGCCCTTCTCAGTTCTCCGTCCTGTATGGTCAACTCTTTAGACAACAGTCTTCGTTCTCCTTTACATCTAGCAGCCTTTACAGGTAATATATAGATACAAATACATCTAGCAGACTATACAGGTAATATATAGATACAAATAAATCTAGCAGACTATACAGGTAATATATAGATACAAATACATCTAGCAGCCTATACAGGTAATATATAGATACAAATACATCTAGCAGCCTATACTGGTAATATATAGATACAAATACATCTAGCAACCTATACAGGTAATATATAGATACAAATACATCTAGCAGCCTATATAGGTAATATATAGATAACAGTTATTAATCTCGTTTTTTTTGTTTGGATCCCCGAATATAATTAAGAAACCCCTGAACCGTTTTGCCTCAAATTTTGAATGGGTTAAATCGGTAGAACTCAGGTTGCTGATCAGATTTAAAAAATTTATACTGAGGCCAGTAATCAGCTATTGTATCTGTCATAAATTTTCCTTCATCTTTGATCTTTGTAACCCTCAGTCATAATCACGTGACTCTCTTTCTATCTAGCCTGTCTTGTCCTTGAATATTGGCATGATCCCGGGAGTTTTTTTTATTCTTACATCAAAGCGAAATTTTAGATGTCGAAATAATCTTTGTTTTCATATTTTAGGACGAGCAGACATATGTTCATTACTTCTGGATAATGGCGCAAAGGTTTAATATTTAAAAATAAATCAAAACTAAATTTCAAAAATAATAACTTTGTGTTCAGCATGATTTGTTTGATGACGGGGGAGCTACTCCAATCCATCTTGCAACTCAATCAGGTATCATTAAACCCTCTGTTCTAAATAAATTGTAAATATATTTTTACTTTAGTTGCAGACATGTAGGTGTATGACTGACCTAAAAAATGTTAACACAAAAAATATAGATTTTGAGTTGTTGTCCCAATTAAACCTCTAAGTAGGATATCTGAATCCTTCCAGTGGAATTATAAAACCCCAGGAATAATATCTGAATCCCTCCAGTGGAATTTTAAACCCCCGGGAATGATATCTGAATCCTTCCAGTGGAATTATAAACCCCCGGGAATAATATATGAATCCCTCTAGTGGAATTTTAAACCCCCAGGAGGAATATATGAATGCCTCCAGTGGAACTGTAAAACCCCCAGGAAGGATATCTGAATCCCTCCATTGGAACTGTAAACCCCCAGGAAGGATATCTGAATCCTTCTAGTGTAATTTAAAATCCCCAAGAAGGTCGATCTGAATCCCTCCAGTTTAATTTTAAACCTCCTGAAAGAATATCTGACACCCTCCAGTGGAATTGTAAACCCCCAGGAAGGATATCTGAATCCTTCCAGTGGAATCTCAAACCCCCAAGAATAATACATGAATGCCTCCAGTGGAATTTTAAACCCCCTGGAAGGATATCTGAATACCTTCAGTGGAATTTTAAACCTCCAGGAGGATATCTGAATCCCTCCAGTGGAATTTTAAACCCCCTGGAAGGATATCTGAATACCTTCAGTGGAATTTTAAACCTCCAGGAAGGATATCTGAATCCCTTCAATAAAATTTTAAACCCCCAGGAAGGATATGAAAAGCGATTTTCCAAACCCCTCCAATGAAATTGAAATCTCTCCAGCAATCTTCAGTGGAGTCGAAATCTTACTTCGAAATTCTTTGAGTCCATTTTTAAACTGTTTAAAAATGAACGAATAATTAGAAGATGAAAAAAACAATTCAACGAGCAATAAGATTTATATTAGTGAGACGAATGAATATTGTTTATCAAAATTTTGCATCTTTTAGGTTGCGAAAATACGCTGCAAATATTTGTGTCACGTGGGTTAGAAAACACGCTAGATCTGGACGGTAGAACACCATTAATGTGGGCGACAGCACGAGGAATTATTTCGGGGATTTCTGCTCTTAAATCCAGTTTCTTAGAGGCAAAAGATGCGCAGGGGTACACGGCTTTACACATTGCAGGGACAATTTTGAGTTAACTTATAATTAAGTGTCTAAACGTTTAGGTTTTATGCTTTGTTTATGTTTATATTTCTGCAGATATAAATGCTCAAAGCTTGATTACAAGAAACACAATTACTAGAAAATCTAATAGCTATTTTTAAATAGGAGGGTAAACTACTTTTTTTTGGTTGTAAACTGCTCTTTTCTTTGAAAAAAAAACAGTTTTCACTGCAATGCAGAGGGGTTAAAATGCAACCCCCCCCCTCCTCCCCCCCAGCCGCTGTTCACTATATGAACATTTTTATATTTAACTCAAGAATATTGTACAGTGTCTTGTGGAATGACCAGCTCAGCTACTGCGCTCTGTAAACTGGGTTGTAACCCTTCATCGCAAACGCTCACCGGGTTGACTCCTCTCATGTTAGCTGCTCAGCTCGGACTCATTGACATAGCTAACCTGCTCCTGGAGTTCGGAGCTAACCTGACAGACAAGGATAAGGAAGGGAGAACAGCTCTCCACCATGCTAGCCAGGCTGGTCAATCATACCTACTCTGCCTGCTTTTAAAGGCAGGAGCTTCAGTTAATGATGTGGATAGGTAGATTTTTAGGATAAAATTATAAATATCTTGAAATCGAAAACTTTACTATATAAATAAGATGCTGCATTTATTATTGTAATTTTTTATTTAACTTTTAGATACGGACGTTCTGCTCTACACATTGGCAGCTACGGAGGATATTTAGAGGTTTGTTTATCATCAGACAACATTATTTTTAATGAAGATTCACAATAACAAAATGGAGGAAGGATATTGCTTAGATCATATCTGCTCTACTGGAAGGATATTGTTTAGATTATATCTGTTCTACTGGAAGGATATTGTTTAGATTATATCTGTTTTACTGGAAGAAGGGTCGGATATAAATCTTCAGGACCATGAAGGATTCTGTTCTCTTCATTGGGCAGTTAGGTAAAAATATTTGTTTTTAATGTTATAATCATGATTAGTCCAACGAACAGAAAAATAAGAATTGTTAGTTTTAGTTGAAGGGACTGTAAAGATAAAATGAAAGAGCATATAGGCTGAAGTCAAAATTTTTTAGGAGCTGATCGTGACCAATATTAGTCCCATCTGAAGTCCCTGTCTCGAAAAATTGATATAAAAATGTGCCAAAGTTATACAAAACCTTGTATATACATAATATCACCAAAGAAATCACGTGACCAGATACTGAACGGCCATTGGTGAAATTCTGGTCATGTGATACCCGACGTAACAATTATATTGATATCTATGATATCTATAATTAGTAACATTTCTAGGCACCTCTGGAACCTGCGCTATCCTAATTTTCAGATTTGTTCAAAATTTGCTGGATACTATCTTTTAAAAACTTTGATTCATTTACCATATCACAGATACATATATGAGTTTTTATACACCGTTGGCACAGTTTATATTAATATTTCTCGAGACAGCTAAGCTGGGGTGGATATCGGTATAAATACTTGATCCAGTCTTTTTCTTAATCTCGAGATTAAATAACGCTTGTTCTCCTCTTGTTATTAATCTCCAGATATCCCATTCTAAAGTTTTCAGCTCAGATAAGTTAACAGATCGGGATTAAGGATATCTCATTCTAAAGTTTTCAGCTCAGATGGAACTATTATAGGTTGCGATCAACTTCTAAAATTTTTAGGCTTCAGTCCTTTCAGTTAAAGGAATTGTTCGCCAATGTTCCACAGATATTGTTTTTTTTTGTTGTGAATCAGGAGAGCATTTTCGATAATTTAATGTTAGTTCCTTTACTTTTAATAAAAATTTAACTTAGATTGATTTCAGACGTGGTCACATTGATGTTGTTAAATTTCTTCTTAAAAACGGAGCTTTTCCCAACCACGTCGGTGTTTTAGAGGTTTGTTGTTAAGCTTAGACTATTTTAAATAACAGGGCTAATCAAATTTGAAGATGGCTCAGTCCCGACTTCTACTGAGAGGGTTTAGTGTTTGCTTTGAAATGGGTAAGCTCAATTAAAAAATAAAAATAACGACCCGCTCTGCTAAGTTTTCGGGAAAAAAATTGCGCATTTTCATCTCAAAAGACGATAAAATTGTGTACAACTACTTTTTCGGGAAATTGAAAAATTTACGTAACCACGGATTCCCTCGACCAATTTTGTCTACAAAACATCCCTCGCTGCGCAATGGATGTTTTGTAGGTAAAGTAAAATTCCCTTTACTTCCTTGTGAAATAGTTGTAAATAATTTAAACCACCTTTTGACCAACATTACCGACCTAACACATAACTTATTATGTAGATATAAAGTTATCTTTTGGGAAACATTGGATAGAATTACAAACTGATTCAGAATTTAAATTACGGTTCATATCCTGTCACCCTTGATTTTTCAGGATCCCTACCTGTAAGATTTGTCAAATGTTTTGAAAAAGAAAATCGTAATATATTTTTCTCTATTGAATTTGGGGATTCATATTTGAATTTCTAATTCAGGTTGGGTCGGATACGCTTCATATAACTCCCTTGGATAGTGCTCTTATGTTGGAGCAAACAGATAATCTCAGGTTCATCATCAATTCCTTATTTTTATTTTTTAATTAAAAAATTGGATTTTAATGAAATAAGTTGGCAAAAAATATGTAGATAATTATTAAGACTATTAGTATTGGCTAACAACGATTTTTTTATAGAAGATTAAACTTAAATTTTCTAATCCCTTTATCTTTGCAACCTGATGGTGTAAACTTTTGATATCTGATCCAACAAAATTCTTAGTTTAAAATATAAAAGGTCTACGAAATCAGGTTGAAAAGATAAAGGAGTTAGAAAATCTGAGTTTGTGGTAAAAATTCAGATCCTTATCCTGACGTTTAGATAAAAACGTATTGTTTTCTAATAGAGCTAGGATACTTCTGTGAATCATTAATGGCATCTACTTAACCAAAAGAGTCGTTTAACGAACTTTTGACATTTTTCTTTAATTTCAAATTTATTTTTTATAATTTTTAAGTGTACTCTTGGATAACGGTGCAGTACGAATTGTCAGAATTTATAACATCGCTGCTACACGGATACAGGTCTATTTTTAAACCATAGATTTTGAATAACCTAACTTTCTCTCAATTATTCCACTAAAACATACACATTTAAAAATACGAATCACGCAATTTCCAGGTATAGGTTAGGTTCTAAAACAAACCTAGATTATCCATGTACAAGCTGCCAGCTTGGATAAATTCTGTTCTTTTCCGTCCTTGAACAAAATATAGGCATCCAGCCCAATTATAAACATTGATTGTCCAGGTACACGTCCAGCTCTAATCAAACCTGGATTATCCAGACATAAATCCAATCCGAAAATATACTGGATACCTCACTTATAAGCCTAACTTTACGAGTTAGATTAGAAAAAATCCTACCCTCGTTATCTAGGCGTGCTGGCGCGGATACCGGATCCGGAAATCCTTCTTCAAGCGGAAGGAATTGCTAGTGAAGCATGAGAAGTTAAAGAAGAACAGGAGAGGAACAAGGTCTATTAGGATGGAGAAGAAAAAGGTAAAAAAAACTATTTTTTTCCGATTATTGAACCAAAACTTGGTTTCTACATATTTTAGCTTGTCTGTCTGTTTAATTATCCAAAAATTTAGGGAGCAGAAGAAGCTGCAGTAACTGAACTCTCTGAAGATCAGCAGAAGAAGAAAGATACACCAGAAAACTCTGAGAAGGGTTTGGAACCAGAGAAATCCACGGATGAAGAACAAAAAGAGGATGAAATCCCAAAACTAGTGGTTTCTGCAAGGTCAGTTAAAAAACTGCATTACTTTTAATTTTGCACGAATTTGTAAAAATAAACATCTCAACTTTTAATATTTCTATTTTCTAACATTTATTATTTAACCAGTTTTGTTTTTAGTCGAATACGGAGTGTAGCAGGACGGTTCCTCGGGAGCATGGTGGAAGGACAATCTAGATCTTCATATCTGAGAAGAGAAGATCCTTCCCTCCCTGAACAACCAGCAAAACATAAGAAATCGAAGAGCGGACGAAAGGGGAAAAGTTCCTCCAAAAGGTACTTTCAAGTTTTTTATGATATGGGCAAAGATTACTCAGATAGGACAGAGAGGTAGTCATGTAGTTATTGTTTCATGTTCTTAGTTTTTTTTTATTTTTACACCGAGTACATTGCACATTGGGACAGGACAAGAATAATACTAAGAATTAATGAGTTAAAATACATGATTAAAAGCTGAATGAAATAGTTACCGATTATTACCCCCAAGTGATTGTCATTTTTCTTAGAGCAAAATCGTAACCCTCTTAAATGTTCATTTGGAGAATCGTTTAGTTGAAATATTGTCTTAAATTCTTAAGCTTATGCTAAAAATCTCTATATGTATTTTAAGCAAGATGTTACTGAAACTAAAGACTTTTTACTTTATAAGATCTTTTTTCTAGGAAATCTGAGAATCTAGATTCTGTTGGTTTGTCTGTTCTTCTAGACCCGGAGACAAGACCAGAGAGCAGATTCAGTTATAATCTGAACCAATGATAAACCAGAGTACAGCTGAGTTATAATCTGAACCAATGATAAATCAGAGTACAGTTTAGTTATATCTGAACCAATGATGCCAGAGAGCAGGTTCAGTAATAATCTGAACCAATGATAACCAGAGAGCAGGTTCAGTTATGAACCAATGATAACCAGAGAGAAAGTTCAGTTATAATCTGATTCAATGATAAACAGAAAACAGTTTAGTTATTGAAACAATTAGTAGATTACTTATGAAAAGTATAGTACACTACCATATTAAATGGATAGATCGACCTTAGAAGTACTCTTCATCATTGGTCCGTAGACGGGATACTACTATACATTCACTCTCAGTTCTTAGTTTGAATAAAGAAGCTGGCAAATTACGTTTCATTGAAATGATAAGAAATAGCCTCGTTTACAAACAAACTTTGAAGAAATTTCCTAAAAATGATCATCCTTAAGTTTTGGTGGTTAAAAACCGAGTGTACAAATAGGATTACATTAGTTATGAAACATTAATAAATTATCAATAAAGTTTTTTAAAAAACTAGAAACAATAGAAAAATTTCCAGTAATTTGAATTGTATAGTAGCCCAGTGACAAGGTAGAAGCACATCCAACGGTTTGCCTGAATATAAACAACTTTAGAATTAAGTAGTTCCAGTTTTTTGTTTAGTGGAAAAATTCAAAAAAACCCTTTGCTAAAAAAGGGAGCACTGGCTCAATTACTATGAAAACGCCAGTTATTTTCCTAGCGGGATCAGTTCGTGGGTCCAGTGCTCCCTTGAGCACTGGACCCACATGATCCAGTTTAAAAATGTTGTTGAGATATGCCAACCCCAAATCACTGTGAAACCAACCTTCTCCATGTTAAATTCTTAATTTTAAAAATGGTTAAAATTTGATAAAAGTAAAAATAAAAATGAAAATTAAAAATTAAAAATTTAAAATAAATAAAAGTTAAAATTATGATTCTATTGTACCTTATTGTTTAAAAATTTAATTTTTTCCGCATTTTCTTTATGGTAAAAACAAACTGTTCTAGTTTAGAGTCCGGGATATCCATTGGTAGTATTTTTCCAAGTTTATCGGAATGTTTCTAACAAAATTTTTAACATGTACATGCCTATTTGAGCATTCATTCTACTTAATTGTTGATATGAATTTTTTACTTTGTTGGGGTTTATCCTTTTTCTTGTGTAGTTCCATGCATTTAACTTGATTTTTTGAGAATCCTTTGAGTTCAAGTATACCACGAACTATTTTTAATTGGTTTTGTAATTCTTTTTTATCAGTACAATGTGTTCTTGCTGTGTGAAAATAGCTAACACCCGCCATTTTTTTTAATTTCCAACTAACATTTGAATTTGGTGGAGTTATATTGTATTTATTATTTGGTTTTCTTAAAACTGATGTCATTGGGTTGATCTGTTTTGGAAAGTTAATAACTCTGATATTCAAGAATTTACCTTGGATAATTTTGGTTTCCATATTGAAGATGATTTCTTTGGGATACCCAGTACAGATTGTGTTGATTGTATTCATCATTTCTTTAAAACTCCCATTTAGATGTATAGAGACATCATCTCTAAACCTGAGATATTTTGTAATATTAGTGAGATTTTTATCATTTCGTAGTTTTTTAAAAATTTTAAGTTCAGAAATTCTTAGAATTATTTCGCTTCCCCTGGCTGCGGAACAATCACCCATGGAGAGTTTTATATGTTCCTGTTGGCTGTTTAAAATAGGAATGATTCATAATACATTCTATCAACATTGTTATATATTTTAACTGAGCTTTCATGAAGTTAAGCAAATTTGGCTGCAGTTGTTACACTTTCAATTAGTAACTCTTTTTTACAGTTTGAATATAGATCAGTGAAGTCCCCTTCTATTTCTATGGAGGATCCCCATTTTCCAACTTTAGATTGTTTAATTCTATCGATGGCTTCTTGTATTCCATTTACAGAAGGCGACCAAGTTGAAAATTTATTGTGAAATTCTTGTTCAACTCTTGGTTTTTTTAATTTTAATGTTGAAGTCTGACTTTTTAATTATAGCACTGAGCTCATTTGGTAAATTATTAAAAGCGTTTTTAATGAAATTTATAATACTTTCTATGTACCACATCTCATCTATTGTAGTTTTTCCAAAGTGCTGTTGAATATTAATTTTTTCGTACTGTTTCAGTAAGTCTGATAGGTACATACAAACATACCCAACATTTTTATCTCCTTCAAGTATAATTAAATTTAAATTAGTTTCAAATGCTTTTCTATACTATGCTTAGCAGTTTTCTGAAACCATTGAGCCACTTTACCAGGAATTATTTTTGTCTTAAAACTAAATTCTCGTAGTATATAGTTTTCGAGAATCCCACTTCCATATTAAATTTTGTAATCTCAGATTTTATGTTATACTTTGTTTTAGGTGTGTATTTTTTTCCTAATTTCAAGCTTTCTATAATGTTTTCACCAAGGTTTTCATTTGAAATATTAAAAAAATTCTTTCTTTCTTTCTTTTCTTTTCGGACAAAGATTTTTTAATTTCGGTTAGTTCGCTTTCTGCGTATTTTTTCATTGACGCATAGAGGCATTTAAGTAAGTAATCTTCAAATGCATTGATAATTTGCTGTTCACAATTTAATTTAAACCTTGAATGATTGTTTTTGATAATTTCTGACAATTAGTAAACTACAGGATGTTCCTATAAACATGGAAATTGAAAAAAAGATTTCAAGATCATCTTTTTTAATGAATTTTGATTTAGTATGCAGGGTGTCCCAATAAACATGGGAATTCAGTGACGAATTTGATATCGTCTTTTCAAATAATTCTTTGGTTTAGTATAGTGATACCTACTGAGAAAGCTGTGATCTGTAAAAGTTTCGTCTGCTATGTTCACATTTTGTTTGTTTATGTTTTGACTGCATACGGTTGTACTTAGTAAAACAAGAAAATTACAGTATACAAACAGATTAAACTTGTCCGTCTTCACTGTTCATCTTGCAGAGACATTATACTCACATCTTTACAGCCATTTACCGTTTTCATAAAATAAACTCTAGCAGACATAATAATATTATGGCTTTTGAAATTAGGTATTACAATGCTAATTCATAACAAAGACGATATTGAATTCGTCACTGAATTCCCATGTTTTTTGGGACACCCTGTATCTAAAGCTGTAATCCGGATTTTCGTCTGGTAGAGGAACTAGAGTTTATTTGTTTATTAATGCTTTGATTGTATACTGTTGTACTTAGTAAAGTATTAAAATTCTAATAAACCAACAAAGTAAACTTCTCCGTCTTCAGTCTTCACTGTATACCTCAGACATATCAGCCCTTTGCTTTTTACATGAAATAAACTTTTGAGATGAGAAATGACATAATGCTAATTCTAAACAATGCCGATTTCAAATTCGTCGCTCAATTCCCATGTTTATTGGTTGGGTTTTTAGTTGCGCTAATCGATTGAATCAATTTAGATATCACTTGATGCTATTACGAGTCCGAATACGAGGCCGAATATGAGGCCGAATACGAGTCCGAATACGAGTCCAAATACGAGTCCAAATACGAGTCCAAATACGAGTCCAAATACGAGTCCGAATACAAGTCCGAATAGGATTCCGAATGCTAACTTCTAAATGTTTTAAGTTGAACAATAATATATTTAACAAGGTGACGGGTAAAGATATATATGTATGATCTGTATGCATAGTATCACAATAAGAGATTAAACTGTATATTAAACTATTTCTCATCATAGTATTCATATTCATACTCCTCCACCTTCTCTACTGGTTTAGTCTCGGATACAGGTTCAGCTTCAGGTTTAGCTGTGACTAGATTAGCTTGAACTCCCTTGATCTTCTCTGCTGACTTGTTGTAGGACTCCTTGAGGGATATATCATTGCACTCCTGGTATCTCACCTCACAGCTCCTCTCATCCTAGAAAATACAACTACAACTACAGTTAAAGGTTGTGTAAATGAGTTTTTATGCATAATTCAAATAACTAATTTTTAGAGGCAAAATATAAAATGTGACTTTTTCTTCGGTGATTCAGATGTTTAGCTTCAATCTTGTAAATCGTGATTGATTAAAGCTCCTTGTTTAGCAATTGATGAGTGCGCCATTACTTTCATACCTATTTATACTGATTAAATGTAATTTTTCGTGCCTTTTTGTCGAGAGCTATACGTTTTGTACATAGAACATGGTTTACGGACTTTAAATGACTGATTATTAAACGGGACTGAGTTTGTATCGATATAATACGAATTTCCTCATCTATAATTGTGTATGTATTGGTGTATGTATGTAATATGTATGTATTGTGTATCTTATTTAACTTTCCTAAAATCTCTCAAACGTTTTTTTTCCTCGAGCTAGCATTTTAGTGAGAATTCATTTTTTTAAATTTTGAACCTGATTAAGTGTAGTTGCTTCAGTTATCTCTGATAAGTATGGTACTCCCCAGGACTCCAGAAACTTGGTTGCCATTTGTACTCCAGACTTTACTGTACTTGCTCCAGTTCCTACAAGTATTACAGTTCTCTTTCAATTTCTAACCCAATGATAATCAAGAAATCTAAATAAAGTATTTTATTAAATTTTTTATTGTTTGAGAATGTCTACTATAAATGGTGATCCTTCCTCATCAGATAAAATTCTATTCAACTCTTTATAAAACCACCCTGTTATCAGCTAACCCGGAGTAAAATGTTTTATTTACCGAACATTTCTGGCTCCTTCATAAACTCACAGATAACCTTCTTCTGACAATCAACATCGTTGTAGTCCAGTTTCTCGTAAATATCCGTGGCAACGGACAGGAGGGTCAGTAGGTCAAAGGGAGAAGATCCTAAATATATTTATTTACTTCAGCTCCTCCTATATATATCAGACTTACATCAAGTACATTGACTACTTTAGAAATTTCAGATTCCCCATTTACTGAATCACAAGCTTTCTTAGTATTCCTGATACTCGGTAATATACCTGAACTCTGGAATCCTCTATAATACTTGTATTCCAGGTACTTAGCATTATACCTGAACGCCGGAATACTCTGTAATATTGGTACTCCATATACCACAGGTATTCGTTAGGTTACATAAACTCTGGCACCCTCTACAGTACTGGTACTCCAAGTATTCCAGATACTGGGCATTATAACTGAGCTCTAGAATCCTCTATAGTACTGGTACTCCAGGAACTCCAGGTACTGGGTACAATACCTGAGCTCTGGAATCCTCTATAGCACTGATACTCCAGGATCTCCAGGTAGTGGGTATTATACCTGAACTCTGGAACCCTCTATAGTACCAGTACTCTAGGTACTGGATGCATACCTGAACTCTGGAACCCTATTTAGTGCTGGTACTCCAGGTACTGTGTAGAATACCTAAACTCTGGAACCCTCTGAAATACTCGTACTCCAGGTACTCCAAGTACTGGCTAGTATACCTGAACTTATAGTATTGGTACTCCAGGTACTGGGTAGTATACCTGAACTCTGGAATCCTCTGTAGTATTGGTACTCCAGGTACTGACTAATATACCTGAACTCTGGAACCCTCTATATTATTGATACTCCAGGTACTGGCTAGTATACCTGAACTCTGGAACTCTCTATAGTATTGGTACTCCAGGTACTGGCTAGTATACCTGAACTCTGGAACCATCTATAGTATTGGTACTCCAGGTACTGGCTAGTATACCTGAACTCTGGAACCCTCTGTAGTATTGGTAATCTCCATAAACGTCTTCTCTCCTCTGAGGTTGTGTGATGAGGTAGTACAGAATAGCGGCCGCAACTATATATGTTAAATTATATATATACAGGTTGAGACAAAAAAAATGTGATTTGAAACGCCTGGTGCAAAATTGTACATTTTTTTGTGCAACTCTCCTGTATGGTGTTTTTTCAATATTTTTTGAAAATTTGTAAATTTTTTTTGGTACTCCAATGGCCCATAAAAAAATCCACGAACCTTTTTTTTCTCTCAAAATCAAAAGTTCAGAAAAGCAAAAATGTGTATAGAAATTATTTCTATCGAAATCAAAAATTTTATAAAGATTGAACTAAAGAATCACAGAAAATTCGCAAAATTGTAATAAGAAAATTCGCAATTTTTAGTTCTGGTCTAACTTTTAAGGAAAAGTTATTCAAATTCTGTAGTTCCTTTCTTCTTAGTATATTCTTAAGTATCAAATATACGCTGTTCAGTTAAAACCTTAAAAACCATTGAAAAAAAAATTTTCCGTAAAAACTATACCAGCACTGAAAAATGAGAATGTTCTTATTACAATTTTGCAAATTTTCTGAGATTCTGTGATTCAATCTTTTTAAAATTTTAGATTTTAATAGATTTCAATTTATTTACACATTTTTGTTTTTCTGAACTTTTGATTTTGAGAGAAAAAAGGTTCGCGGATTTTTTTTGGGCCGTTGAAGTACCAAAAAAAATTTTTTTAAATATTGAAAAAACACCATACAGGAGAGTTGCACAAAAAAGGTACAATTTTGCACCAGGCGCCGCAAATCACACTTTTTTTGACTCACCCTGTATTTTTGCAAAATATATTTCAATTATCATTGAATTTACTTAAGTGGCAAAACACAAGTTTTAAAAATATTTTTAAGGTTTATGGAGCATCAAAATCGGAAAAAAATTCCTGAAAATACAGTAATAACCAGAAAATTCTGGAATAATAAGACGACTTTGAGAAACAAGTTTAAACTTTAAAAATTTAAATAACCATGAAACACAGCAATTGTACAGTGTAAACAGACCCATTTTACACAAAAAAAGTAATTTTATAAGTGTTTGGTAAAACTATTGCTTTGAAATACCATCAAATACACTTAAGTATTGCTGTAATGCCGTCTTCCTATTACATTGTTTTCTGGTTATCACTTCAGTTGGCATTTTTTTTTTGAAAATGCGCCAATTCGAAAAGAAAAATCCGCCATAATTTGAAAATGATTAAAAATTACAGATTTGCATAGCAGCAGTTAAAAGCTAAAATTATTTGCAGGAAAGGGGGCGTGAAGCCGAAGTGAATAAATACACTTTGGCACGAAGCACCCTTAAAGCCTAGTCATTAAATACCTGCAATTATAATTATTCCTCCACCAGCAACAGCCAGTAAGGTTGTATTCACAACTACATCAACATCATGTCAGAACAAAGGATTATTTTATTTTTTTTCATTCTTTTATTACAAAAATGTTTTTTTCTAACATTTTAATTAATAAAGCTTAAAAATTAAATTAAAGATCGTCCATGATTTCTGATAGCGATCTGAAGAAAATAAAAACACCCCTGGTCCTGGCATTTCCAAACTGTGCTTTAATGTGCTTCCAAAATTACCAGAGATTTATAGAATTTCGTTTGAATTTCATTTTGATAAATGAACACAAAATTGTCTTTTTTTTCTTTGAGATAAAAAGTATGTAGACAATGAAAATAAAATCTTTGTAATTAGATAATATGGTATCTCTCAAATAATAGATATCTCTCAAAGGTCAAAAAAGATCTTTTAATTGTCTTTCAAGTCTCAGTTATAGTTTGACACATGACTAGACTCCAGCCTGGAGTTGCAAATTACGTCAACTAAAAGATTTAAAGGGTCGTCTTTGATATTTAACACACAGAGTACATGCTCATGAATGCCGCAATTATGAGTAATCTAAAATGTGGGATTTTCTAACAATGTTCCTAGAAGACTGGAGGTGTAATTGGTCAGGAATCTGAAAAAAACAGTGTTTTATTATGCTATTGATCTATAAAGTAGTAATCTTATACTTGTATGTTCTATCATCTAGATGACTGATTCGCCTTATTACGTTCATTGAGGAAAGTGAATGAGCCAGGGAAATGTTCTTTTACATGGCCGGTTTAAAAAGTTTGAGTCGAGTGGGTTGAATTATAAAGCTGGGTTCCTGAACTAGTAATATAAAAAGTTTTCGCATTTAAAACAACTTATAGAGAACTCTCCACTCACTTTAATATACGATTCCACTTTCATAAGATCATTAGCATAACATCAAACCATCCACCTGATCCCCCGATAAAACAATGAATTAAACACATGAAAAATATATCAACAAGCAAACCATGATTAATTGATCAATAATTGAGCAATAAATCAAACCAATCATCAAACTGTTCATTAATTCTTAAATTAGCAAGAAAAATTGAAAAAAAGCTCTTAAACTTAAACTTTGTAAATAGGACCAAACCACCATAAACATTACCAATGAATTCTTATATTAACCAAATAATGAACACAAATCTAAAATTTAACTGCAATTAATCAACTTTAAAAATTTGTCTAGAGATCTAAACTTTTGCTTGGTATGCAGCGCTATATCTAATCTACACTGTCAGATTGCGACATTCACAGAAAACAAATGCTAATTTAAAAGAAACCTTAATACGTGAACTACAACTGATCACTTTGTGTGGCTTCAGATAAGTTGGACTTTTATGATTATTTAAAAGGAATTAACTATTACCAGGATATCCCTATACGGAATATTCTGGTATTCTGGATATTCCTACCGGATATTCTGGCGTTCTAGATATTCCAAGGATATTCTGGTATTCTAGATACCCCCTACCAGCTTTTCTAGTATTTTAGATATCGTTTCCAGGATATTCTGGTATTCTAGATACCCCTACCAGCTATTCTGGTATTCTAGATATCCCTACCTTGGTTCCTCTTCTCCAGTATAGATAATATCGTCCTGGATGATACCAGCACTGCAGGATACAATAAATCCCAGGAGTAAGATTAGTTCCAACCCAAACATTTTTATCTTGGGATCTGGAAAAAAAATACTATCTACATTGACAGAAACAAACTAAGAGAGAAATCAGCCAAACTATTCTACGGTTTATACTCAGGAAGGAAATTATGAATTAAATCAAAATTTCTTTGTAATCCCTCCTTTGTAATCCTTCTAGTTAGTCCATTCAAATTAATCCCCCCTATGTAATCCTTTCGGATAATCCTTTCTTATTAATCCTTTCCCATCTATCCCTCTCAATAGTAACTACCTTCTGACTTTTCCCAAACAGAGTTCTTTGGATTTGGAAAAATATTATTAAACGTCACATTCAATTGTATATTTACATGATATCATCATTGCACTTCAATTCTTGTAACCTTTATTAAAAAAATGATGTGAAATAATATTGGCAGGAGTACAGCGTGTGATAAAGTTTGATACTGGTCACAGACCATCACTGACCAGGGAGACAAGAGGAGACTTGACGGGGATACTAGGGGAGGGGAGACAAAGGAGACAAGGGAGACAAGGGATACTAGGGGAGGGGAGACAAAGGAGACAAGGGAGACAAGTAGTGACATTGGAGACGAAGAGAAACATGGGAGACATGGGAGACAAGGGGATACAAAGGAGACAAGTGGAGACTAGGGGAGATCAAGGGGACAAGGGAAACCAAGGAAATTAGGTGAAACCAGGGCAGACAATGGGAGAAAAGGGAGACCATGTGGGACCCATGGAGACCAGGAAAAAAGAAGAGACCAAGGAGAAAAGAAGAGTTCAGGGCAGCAAGGGGAGACCAAGGAGATACGGTAAGACATGGGAGACAAGGGTAGACAGTGGAGACCAGCAGAGACCAGGGAAGACAGGGGAGACAAGGGTAGACAGTGGAGACCAGCGGAGACCAGAAAAGACAGGGGAGACAAGGGAGACCAGGAGAGACCAATGAGGCTAGGGGAGACAAGGGCAGATAAGGGGAGACTAGAGGAGACAAAGGAGACCATGGGGGACCATGAGAGACACCAGGAAGACCATGCATTGCAGACCTTGGGGGACCATGGAAGAACGTGTGAAATCAGGGGAGACCAGGGGAGACCAGGAATACCATTGGAAACTATTGAGACAAGGAAGAATATGGGAGACAACGGATAAAAGGGAGACTAGGGGAGACCAAGGAGAGACAAGGTGAGAGACAAAGGGAGACCAAAGAGAGACAAGGTGAGAGACAAAGGGAGACCAAAGAGAGACAAGGGGAGACCTAGGAAGACCAAGGAGAGACAAAGGGAGAACAGGACAGGCCAGATTGTGGAAGATTGCGGGAAGACCATGGAGACCAAGGAGATTCAGGTGACAAGAGATAGCATGGGAGATCAGAAAGACCAAGGAGATACCAGGTGAAAAGGAAAGACAGGGAGGATAAAATGAGACCAGGGGAGACCAGCAAGACCGTGGAGACCAAGTTGAACTTGAAATATTTGAAAATTGGTTTGTAATGTGTAAACTTTTCAGATATAAAAACTCAGGTAAGAAAATTGTTTATTGTGGTTGAAGACGTCATTCAAGCTAATTCTCAAGGTCAAGTTTACACTCTACAGATCCAGGATCCAGGATTAGGGACTTATGAAATTTAAGGTTCAAGAAGAGGACATAGAGAAAGAGAAGCGAGGAGAGAAAAAAAGGTAAGATAAGTGGAGAAAAAAAAGGAAGAAGGGAAGAAGGGAAGAAACAAAAAGCGGAGAGGAGAAGTAACTGGAAAAGAAGAGAAGGGAAGAAGAGAAGAGAAAGAAGAAGAAGCAGTGAGTAGAAGAGAAGAAAAGGAAGAAGTAGAAGAGAGGAGAGGAGAGTAAAAAAAAGGGAGGAAGAAGAAGCGTAGAGGAGAAGAGAAGAGAAGGGAAAAGAAGCGAAGAGGAGAAAAGAAGAGAAGGGTTAAGAAGCAGAAAAAAGAAGAGATAGGATAAAACGCGGAGAGGTGCAGAGATGTGAAAAAGAAGCAGAGAGTAGAAAATGAAGAAGAAGAAGGAGAGAAAGTAAAAGTACAGAAAGGGGAACAGAAACCAGAATAAGGAGAAAAGGGGAAAAGAAGAAAAGAAGAAACAGAGGAGGGAAGAAGAAAGAGAATCATTAAGGTAAAAAGCAAAAAGAATTGTATGGTGGAATCTGAGAGAATAAAAGTATTAACTTATTCAGTAAAATTTCTTTCCAGTTTCTAAAACCAAGTTTTAATTTTTTGTTATCAACATATCAAATAATTGTTTAAATAGCAATTAATTCTTTTAAAACCTGCTAGTGTAAACATAACTAATTAGATAAATGGACCAATTAAACTATTTCGCGGATCGTGATAATACTAAACTTGTAAAGAATATTAACGTTTTATTTACACATACCCATTTCACATTAAAGCTTAGTAATTTTTTTAGGAAATTTTTTAAAATTTCGAGCAGATCAAATATTAAAATATTAAAACGAAGCTTAAAATCTTTGAACTACGAATATTAGTAAATTTTTTTTTTAAATTCTCAACTCTTTGTTTAACTGCTCTGTTCTCTAGGTTAGTTACAATATATGGTCTAGGTTAAACTGAAGCTCAGTTAAAAGTGCATATGGAGTTGATGGTTCTCTGGGTACCATTAAGCATAGAGGGGACTCCTCCACCTTCTCTACTGGTTTAGTCTCGGATACAGGTTCAGCTTCAGNAAACGACGAACTCGAACTCAATTTATTACTATTAAATCCTTTAACCCTAAATATTTTTAGAGAAGGAGGGGGGAGGAGGGGTTACGCCATCATTGTTGTTTTTTTCAGCAAACCTTAACAAATGTATTTTCTTAAGGAAACATTTTTTTTATTATAAAGCTATGGCGACATTTGTTTATGTATATATCATTTTTAAACCATAGACACTTCTGTCCGATAAATGTTTTTCTCTCACCTAGAAATTCCCAAATCCTGTTTTAGATTCATCGGGTTCATTGATATAATTTCATGTTTCAATAAAGTTATCATCATGTTACAAAGATCAAGGTAGCTTTCAATACATTTTAAAGCCTGGATCGACTTTGAAGTTTTTTATCTTACTGGGGTTTTTTGGGTGCTTCGCGCCCATCTTCTATTTAAATTGTGAACATTTCTTTTAGTTTACATTTTAAAACAAAGAAGAACAAATTTTTGCGGATTTTTAAAACAAAATTCGCGGATTTTCAAGAATTTAAATTTTTTTGCAAAATTAAAATCCTTTAAAACACATTATCATTCATAAACCTTCCCTGTGGTCATGTGATGTCCCACAAAAAATTTGGGCCCGATCGGTTCAGCCGTTCTGACGTTTATTGGATACAAACAAACAGACAGACAAGCCAAATTTATATATAGATTTTGATCATTTTTATTTGGCTTAAAATAAACAGAAAAGTTGTTTACTCTATTTTTTATAGATTTTGAATGAGAATTATTCCGATACACTCAGTAGTTAGTTTTACATAGATCCAACCATCCAAACAGATTTAGAAATATCAATTTTCAAGACGGGTTCGGATTTGAAGTGTCGCAACGCCTTAGTTATTGGGTTTACCTCACTTTACTCTATTATAGACTTTTGTAGCCCTAAACATGTACATTTTAGACCCATTACGAGGCATTTTTTAGCTTCAGTTTAAAAGAAGTAATTTAGCTAAATTGCTGATTTTGGATCACCAGATTATAGAGATCACGAAAGAAGAAGGAAAAACATATTAAAACCATAATTCTTATTTTAACCAAAGGATGAGACCAAATTTCTTTTGTAAAGTCTTCTCTGAAACCTCATTGTTTTTAAAAACCTTTTAGAAAATTATATTTAGGGAGCTAAAAATATCTGAAGGTTGAATTAGTATTTTTTCTTAAAAGATATAAACCTATTTACTTCTGTAAATTTTCATTCGTTTGAAATATATACCTTTTTCAAAATTTCATGCATATCCATATTTTTGACTATTCTCTTCTCGCGGATTTCTTTGTCTAAATTGGTGCATTTGAAAAAATGATAAATATCAACATTTTTCAACTTTGACGACCTTCCGTGTAAATTGTCACATGAATTATTTTGTGCCCAATTGGTTCAGCCGTTTGAAGTTTGTTGGATACAATCAAACAAACACCCAGACAGACAAGCCAAAGGAATTAAATCTTTGCCACAATCTCAAATTTGCAATACTTATATCTTTGCAATCTGATAGTGTAAGCCTTTGATGTTTCAAACTTAGATTTTTTTTATCTAACAGACTTCATAGTTTGAAATATCTCAGGTCTATGATATTGAGTTGCAAAGATATAGGGAATAGAAAATCAGAGTTTGTGGCAAAGACTCAATTCTTTTTTTAAAGATGTAGAAAGTTTCTTTGCTTCTCCACAAAAAACTGTTTAGGACAATTGAAACTTTTAAAATAGAATATATCTACATATCTAGGGAAAAAATAGCTAATCGGCCAACCAATAGCTACTCGGCCAACCAATAGCTACCCGGCCAACCAATAGCTACCCGGCCAACAATAAATACTCGGCCAACCAATAGCTACTCGGCCAACCAATAGCTACTCGGCAAACCAATAGCTACTCGGCCAACCAATAGCTAATCGGCAAACTTTTATTTTTCATTTCCTTTGTTAGAATATTTATTAAGATCTGCCATAATATACATTTCAATAAAAACTAAAAAGTTACAGTACAAATATTATAAATTACAGTTGAAAACAGTACAAAGTACAGTACAGTGCAGTATAGTACACAGCACAGTACATTACAGTACAGTGTAGTGCAGGACAGTATACAGTGCAGTACTGCAGTACATACAATAAACTGCGTGTATACCTAACACCTATAGTTAGGTATAGACCCAGTTCACTCTTCTTTTTTCATAATTGTACAATTCTCTACATTTGCCACGGTCGACTTTTTCGTCCGATCGTTGTAGCGGTCGACCCCATGCAAATGAGTTAGGTTGATTGCTTCATATACTCTTATACGGAGTCCGGCACACATTCAAGGTACCTGGAGATAGAAATATTGTATTTTACACTAGTACATTACTCTAGGATGTCCATTCTAGGTATTGATGTCAGAGTTACATGTTCAAATCAAAATAAAATTTAACATCCTGGATAATATGGTGAAATGTAAATTTCTGAGGTTTTATCACACTGACTTTGAATGTACGGACCTACAGGAAAAATCTAAGATAAAATCTTGAATGTATACGATGGTTGGAATACCTAAGCCCCAAAGTTTCCAGAAGAAATTCTGTGCCCATGCATTGTATATATTTTGTCCAAGTTATCACGAAAATTTTGTATTTAAAGGTATTTTAAATATAATATAATAACAGTTTTAGAAACCAGTAATTGTAAATCACAAAGATCACAAATTTAATACTCGGAATTGTGTCTTTAAATTTAAAATTTGAAACCATTTAAATTCATTAAAATGCATAAAAATGAGCAAATAGTGTCAGAAATATTATCTAATCATTTAAAAAAAAACAGAAGTCAATCTAATTTATGTCACAAACTAGAATTGTCTAATCCCTATATCTTTGCAACCTGATGTTAAATTTCCAACTATTTTATCTTTATTGATTTCAGAGTTTGAAATATCAAAGGTTTACGATATCAAGTTGAAAAGATACAGAGTATAAAATTCATAGTTTGAAATATAAAAGGTTTACGATATCAAGTTGAAAAGATACAGAGTATAAAAATTCAGAGTTTGTGGCAAAATGCAATTAATTTATGAAGCATTATTTGGTTTAATATATTATTTTATTAGTTAAAGGAATTGTAAACGTATTTTTTAATGATTCTTCATTAAAAAAAGTCCTTTAAAAATTGACAAGAAAATGCCGGAATTTATCCCATTTAGATTGATAAACGACGAACTCGAACTCATCGCACTTCGGATAAATGTGTAATGGGAATTATTGTGAATAATTTATGGCACTCAGCTGAATGAAACTAGGTGAAAATTTCCTTTAAACCAACCTGTTTTTAAACCCTTCACCACGTGTGCAGGCAACCGAGACCTATAATTTGTACAGGGTGTCCCAATAAACATTGGAATTAAGAGACGACTTGATAATCATCTTTGATTTCCGATAAAATAGGGTCTCAACTAAATTGTTCGTCTCATAAGCTTTTTAAAATGTATTCTGCCTTCCTGGTATCTTTAAATTTGATGGAGATATTATACATAGCTGAACATGGTTTCGTTAAATTCTAAAATTAATGTTCAAGAAAAAATGCTGCGTAAAACAATGACGATATAGGAGTCGTCACTTAATTCCCATGTTTATTGGGACTAGTTTACTGTTTACAAGTTTTTAATTATATGGTAGAGAATTTCACGGTAAATAACAATATATTATTTGCCATTTTTTATTCCAATTTGAATAATGCATTTCAGTACAAGGTTGTCATTTAAAACATTTAAATGATGCCTGTTTACTTTCAGAGGGCTGCCACGCCAATAACCGGCCAAACGGCTGAAATTTTTTGTGGACACTCATGGGTGGCCGGGGTTGTCTTAGGCTAAAAAAAAATTCTAAAATTTGTTTTCCAACATTTTTTTATTTATTTTCTTTTTTTCCACGGGCAACGCCGGGCCCTTCAGCTAGTAATTTGATTATATTTCTAAACATGGTGATTTGAGATAATCCTGATAAAATCTTTGAAACGCAAATGTGCTTGAGAGAAACCGAAATTCATTGAAGGAGGGGCCGGCTTCCCAAATACTCTATAAAAATATCGGATTGGAATAAAAATAGTGACGGCTGTAATTCCGGATACAAATCTCTCCTCTTCCCCATTATACAAATTTACTAAAGACTTTCAGGATAAAAGGCAATCCTTCAGTCTTTAGCATTTACCTGACCGTCATGCGGTACATATCCTTGTACACAAGATACAGTACAGTTTACAGAATCTTGTCTTACTGTACATGTGTAGCCACCTCTTCTAGCCAGGGATGGGTGTACTTCACTGTACTGGCAACCTTTAAAGGAACAGTGCGCGTGATTTAAAGTGACCCTCAAGGAAAAGATGACAATTCCCGAGTCAAAACGCTATCCTCAAAAGTTACAGGGTGTCCCACGAAACATGACAGCTGGTGAATAGTTTAGAATGTCTTCTTCCATAATTTTTTAAGTTGTTTAATACCAAAGACAATAATACAAATATTATATGGGAGTCATGTTATAGTAAAATTGGTTTCAAAGTACAAAATATGTTGTAAGAAAAAGATTTTTTTTAACGAAATAAACTGCAAACAGCATTTAATATCTAATAAAGTATATGAAAGACGACTTTCATAACTATTTACCATCTGTCATGTTCCGTGGGACATCCTGTATGTCTGATCAAGTATCAGAATTCAATATCTTCCAAATTATTGATCAGAAAAAGGGTACCGTTGCCATCTTTGTATCAAGGGTCACTTGAAATTACGCTTACAATCCCTTTTAGCAGTTAAAATATGAATACGGTTTTGGTGACATAAGAAAAGGAACGATAAACAGTTAATCTATATCGTTGTTTGTAAATACAATTTACAACTACGCATATGACTGTTTTCACTTCATTCAGGGCAAAAAACGATGAAAATTTCTGTAACAGTTTTTATTATTCTGGGCCTCAAAAACATCTATGATAGACTAAGATGTGTTCCGAGAAATCTCTTCAATCTATTCTATTTTCTTGACTAATTACACGCATGCATATTTCTCTACACTCTAATTATCTAAATTCCCAGTAAAATACATTCTCGTGTCTACACTCATTTTATACAAGAGGAGAGGAGAGCTTAAAGAAATTTCTGTATCTTAATAATTTCGTGTAAAGTTCTAAATACTGTACATGAATGGATAATATACATGAATTAAATGGTTCTGTACATGAATTACCTGATACTGTACGTAAACTACCAGGTACTGTACAGTGTACATGTATTAATTGGTACTGTACAGTGTACATGTATTAATTGGTACTGTACAGTGTACATGTATTAATTGGTACTGTACAGTGTACATGTATTAATTGGTACTGTACATTGTAAACAAATTACTTGTACTGTACGTGAATAACCTGGTACTGTACGTGAAATACCTGGTACTGTACGTCAAGCACCTGGTACTGTACATGAATTACCTGGTACTCTACGGGAATTACACGGAACTGTACATGAATTACCTGGTATCGTACATGAATTATCTGGTACTGTACAGTGTACATGAATTACCTGGTACTGTACATGAAAGTGACTGATCCTCTATTGTTTTCTCTGCTGTAAAACTAAACAAAAAGGGGCAATTTTATTAATACAAAGATAGATTTTATAATAAATTAACAATCTGGCGCAAATCAAATGTGACCTTAATTATTACCAAAATATATAATAATGTATATTGAAAGAAAAGGTTCTCTTAAAATGTACCAGTGACGGAGCACCCTGATTTACTTTACCTAGAACCAGAGCAGAACCAAACTTTATTCTTTAGATATTCCTCTCCTTTCTTCCTAGAATAGAACTCATTTTTCAATCAACGAAACTAATTAAATTTAAAGAGTTAAACTCATTCTTTTTCCATGAGGAGTTAAATAATTACTTTAAACGAGATTACAGATTAAGTCGGATTATGAAAGATCATCAAATCTTTTCATTTGAAAAATTATGGAGATAAATCTAGCGTCAGCTGGTACAGTTAAAAAATCACAAAACTAATAAGGTAATCTTTCTCATTCAAAAGTTTCCTTTCGCCTTTGGAGTTTAATCATGTGTCCCTTTACTTTATTAGAGGCCGAATTTAATGAATTTGAACCGCGTCGCTAAACCGCAAATTACCGGTTCAAATAGAAGTAAGTGAATTTTCTGGATTCGCCCTTTTCGTATGATGGGACTTGGATGAACTCTCTCGGTTCTCCTTTTTTGATTCTTCTCTTATTCTAAACATTTATTCTAATCTCTAGAGGTCTCTCTTGTCCAAAACTAGAGTCTAAGTCTATTATAAAACTTATCTTTATCTTAAAGGGAGTTTTACGGATCTTTAAAAAGTTTAATAAGTCTCAAATGAATCCGAAAGAAGTTTTTCTCAACACTGCATACTCAGTTCAACTACTTTACATAGCCGGTCACTCCCTTTAAACCAAAGTCTATACTTAAAATAAGCAAAAACTATACTTAAGAGAAACTGTTAGCGTAATTTAAAGTGACCCTCCGTGCAAAGATGACAATTTCCGATTTACAACGGTACCCTTCAAAGCTTTGTCTGATCAAGTATGAATTAGATATCAATGTTTTTGTTTAATTAAGCTGTTTAATTTTATTTGTGCTTTCGTGTAGAAGTTATTATCGCATTTCTTGCTTGTAAGAAACAATGGTGAAATTCTCAAGATTAAACACGTTTCTAGACAGAAAAGCAACGCTAACTTCCACATTTTTGATCAAATAAAAATTTCAAGGGTACCGTTGTAAATCGGAAATTGCTATCTTTGCATGGAGGGTCACTTGAAATAAAGCTAAAAGTCCCTTTAAGATATATGAACCCTATGCAGGGCACACTACGCCTGTATGCAACCAGCACCTGGTGGAGTTAATGGTTTTATATTTTCTTTAGCACAGCATACGTTGCATTTATATGACACCTGTGATATGAATAAGGTCCAAGGTTTGGCTCCATTTTGCATTTTTCAACCCAAGGTTCGGGAACAGAAATCCTTAAACCATAACTCCGTTCCTCTCCACGAGTTTTTAGAGTCTTCCATTCTCCATCCTTGAACACCTCGGCCTTATTCTCTCCTCCTAGTAATCGTTTCGGAGTTAAAGTTGTTATCAGATGCATGATAACTTATTTGAATAAGACCTGGATATGGAAAACCTCCTCCTCCGTAAAGAACGATCCTATCTCCAAGTTGATGTAAACTTGGTTGGTTTGGATGCGGATACCGGAGAGGTTTCCAAGGTTCCCATTCTTCTCCAATCTCCCCGTCCAAGAGAGAGAGAAACTCTACTGAATCCCCGTGGTTGGTATCTCCTACTCCTCCTGCGACCAGTATCCCTGGTTCTCCGTCCCTGCTCACGATACTGCAACCATGGTAGTATCTTCCAACCCGGAGCTCAGGTCCTTCACTCCACTCCCGAGTAACCGTATCAAAAAGAGAGACATGCCTAATCAAGATGGAGATGATGGTTTATTAACTCAAATTTACCATATCTAAATGAATTTTAGTTTTTCCATCTTACCTGTATCCATGGTTGCAAGTTGACTGGTTTCTTCCTCCGGTAATGATTATATACTGACGATGGATAAGAGAACATGCTCCGTGGATACTCCTGGGCAACCTTTCCTTTACACTCCATTCTTTACTACTCACATTCAGTTCTAACAAGTTAACATTTATTCATAGAATTCCTAGCACTGGTTAAAGCAAGGGTTTGAATAGAAATTGGATATCTAAGGAAAAGGGAGCAAAAGTTACAGGAAAGGTTGATTTTTGATTTTTTTTCTGCTATAAAAACTTTAAGCTTTATACCTATGATGAAATCTGTTGTAACTTCTGTAAAATAATCATAAAAATCTTCATTTTCTCCAACCTCGTCCTAAATCATTTAATCGTACTTGATGGTGAATTATATTGTCCTTCTACTGATATAATATAGTATTAAGACTGGATTCAAAGTAAATTTTCCCTGCAGCGTTCTTCATTCCTAATTTGTCAATTGCTAATATTTTCTTACTTGGAGAAATAGGGGGCCTCACGTTCCTCCTCCCCCTCTCCCGATCGTTATGGGCTATGACGTAAAAATAACCAAAAATCGGATTTACCCCCAACCCACGCCCGCCCCCTGATGTTTTTTTAAGACGCCCCTGGTTTTTGACATTTTTGAAAAGATATATTAGATTTAACCATGATTTAACAGTTCCAAATTCAAAATTATTGTTTACTAAAACAGTATTTTTCTTGTGTTATCAAATTTCATGGTCAAATACAGAACTAGCATGTATCCAAAAAATATATTTGTTAAACCTGATAATAATCCTGCTCCAGAACCCCTCCAAGGACGTAAACTGTATCAGGGTAGCACACTGAACTAGCTCCGGCAACAGGGAACGGAAGACCAGGAAATTCTTCCCACGAATCCTAGTGAGTGTTTTAAAAATTTATTTTAAAACAGAAAATGTTATTTTTTCAAGATATTTTTCATTAATAAATGACGAAACTTTGAAAATTGCAAAATATTAAATCTTCAATTTTGTGGTTTATTGGATTAAATAAGTAAACGTATTTAGGTTCAAGTTTAAACCAATAAAAAAAAAGGCTAGGCATCCGATGATAGGTTATGAATCCTGGGATAATAGGTTAGGCATCCAGGGGATAATAGGTTAGGAATTCTGTTATAATAGATTAGGAATCCTGGGATAATAGGTTAGGAATCTTGAGATAATAGGTTAGGAATCTTGGGATAATAGGATAGGAATCTTGGGATAATAGGATAGGAATCTTGGGATAATAGGATAGGAATCCTGGGATAATAGGTTATAGGAATCCTGGGATAATAGGTTAGGAATCCCGGGGATAATAGGTTAGGAGTCCTGGGATAATAGATTAGGAATCCTGGGATAATAGGATATAGGAATCTTGGGATAATAGGTTAGGAATCCTGGGATAATAGGTTAGGAATCTTGGGATAATAGGTTAGGAATCCCGGGGATAATAGGTTAGGAGTCCTGGGATAATAGGTTAGGAATCCTTAATTATTAATCACTTAAAAAATTATTTTCTTATTGCAACATATGTTGTTTATTCATGGTTAACCTTCCATTTCAAGGGTAGGAAATATATTGGTAAAATTCTCATAGATTGGAAAATATACTAAATTACAACATGGTATATAGANTTACAACATGGTAGATATATAGATCTAGTTTTCTTAAATGTTTCATCAAAACACAGCTAGGTGTATTAATATAAAATATGTATTTCATTTGTTCATGTAGCACAATAAACTAAAGATCAGTACATTACAGTGTTTGCTAATTTATAACACAACTTTCTTCTGCTAGCCTCACTTTTACGTGTAAAATGAAAATAATAGAAGATATCGCAGTCACAATCCTATAAGTACAATGTACAATGTACATGCAATGTACAATGTACATACAATGTACAATGTACATATAATGTACAATGTACATATAATGTACAATGTACATATAATGTACAATGTACATACAATGTACAATGTACATACAATGTACAATGTACATACAATGTACATTGTACATACAATGTACAATGTACAATGTACAATGTAAATACAATCTACAATGTACAACGTACATACAATGTACAATGTACAATGCACAATGTACATACCATGTACAATTTACAATGTACAATGTACAATGTACAATGTACAATGTACAATGTACAATATACAATGTACAATGTACATTGTACAATGTACAATGTACAATCTACAAGGTACAATGTACAATGTACAATGTACAATGTACAATGTACAATGTACAATGTACAATGTACAACGTACAATGTACAACGTACAATGTACAATGTACAATGTACATGTAATGTACGTTTACAGGCTAAATAAATTTAAACTTCTTGTAAGATGCTTTTCATAAAACTAGATTTGATAGTTAAAGGGACTGTAAGTGTAATTTCAAGTGACCCTTCATTCTAAGATCGCAATGACCGATTCACAAAGGTACCCCTGAAACCTTCATTTGATCAACAATTTGGAAGATATTGTCGTTTTTCTAGGTTTAAAAATGTTTGATCCCGATTAGTCTTATATATTTTCCTACAGTAGAAATGCGCAAGTCACTTTTTAGAGAAAACTCAATTGAAAATAGACATAGAAGTCTAACTCATTCCTGATTAGACAGAGCTTTTAAGGGTACTGTTGTAAATCGGGCATTTTCCATATTTGCATGGAGGATCCCTTGCAATTACGCTCACAGTCCCTTTAATTTTGTAGATACTTGTGTAAATATCTTTACATTACCTTCTTCTGGTCATACATCCAGCACTCGTCATTTAATCCTAATAAATCCTTCCTTCCTCCGCATACCAGGATACTAGATCCAACCCTGCATCCGGTGTGTGCAAACCTAAACATTAATTAATCAATACCTAATATTCTATCTTAATTTGAACCAAATCTTATTTAAATCTGAACTTAATCCAATCTTAATTTGAACCTAATCGTATCTAAATCTTGAAATCAATTATATCTAAATCTGAATTTAATCCAATCTTAATTTGAACCTGTACATATCTTAATTGAACCTAATTCAATCAAAATCCTAACGTGAACAAATCTTAATAAAACCTGACCTTGTCTTAATCCAAACCTGAACCAATCCTAATCCAAACCTGAACCAATCCTTATCCAAACCTGAACCAATCCTAATCCAAACCTGAACCAATCCTAATCTAAACCTGAACCAATCCTAATCTAAACCTGAACCAATCCTAATCTAAACCTGAACCAATCCTAATCTAAACCTTAACCAATCCTAATCTAAACCTGAACCAATCCTAATATAAACCTGAACCAATCCTAATATAAACCTGAACCAATCCTAATCTAAACCTAAACAAAACTTAATTTGAAGAACTCCAATCCTAAAACTAAACCGATCTTAATCCAACCCTTAGGCATTCATTACCTAAACCTTAAAAAACTTAAATATAAACCTGATCATAAACTTCAAATTGGCGAAATAATGCTCGATTTTTTTGTGAGACGCATGCGCGTCTCTTCAAATCTAAACCTGAAAAAAAAACTTTTTCTAAACCTGAACCAAGAAGGATTCAAAACCAAAACCTAAACTAATCGAAGTCTAAACCTGAATAAGTTTAAATTTTACCCTGCACTATTTCAAATATAAACCTTTACCTAAACCTAAATTAAACCTTAACCTAAATAAATCTAAATCTAAACCTAAACCTAAATAAATCTAAATCCAAACCTAAACCTAATGTGCAAAATCTTTAAAAATGTAGAAGTTACATCTGAATAAAAAGTAAATAATTTTCTAACCTAATAGAAGGGAAGGTTGGGAGGCATGTTACCGCAATGTTTGTTTCTGTCACAACAACAACATCTTGTTCTGTCTTAACATTTGATAAATTATAACAATAGAATAGATTTCTTGTTTGTATCAAATAAACGTCAAACCAGATGAACCGATCGGGCCCAATTTACTTTTTGTGGTCAAAATTAAAAGTTGTCCCTCAAAAAAAATGTCAATTTTTACGAACTTTAAATATCCGCCATTTAAAAAGAAAATACGCGGGTATTGTTTTTATTATTGGAAAACGATGAAAAAAAAGGTTGCTAGAATATCAACAGTTGAAAGTTAAAGCTGTTACTAAAAAATGGATTTGAAAATTAAAGTTTGAACAACCAGAGACCGCACTGACATATGCAATGGTCGTAAAAACACTTTATTAGAAAGATGATCTCAAATTATTTAGAAGTTTATCAAACAGTGTTTATTTAAATGAATTTTTTTTATTTTTTTAAGTAATTTTTATTAAATTTGAATTCCGTCATTAGAGTGATTATTTCTATATTTAAACTATTTTGTTTACTTACTTTACTTCCTCCAATGATAAGCATTGCTTCCTGTCCTGAATGTGAACCCTCTGTAAGTAAAAATGCCTGTAGCAAAACAAAAGGATGTACTGAAACTATTTCCTGCTGATATCATCTATTTCATGAAAAAAGAAATATAGATAAATTAGTAAAAATTACCTAACCCTACTCCTACTAGTTCGGAGCTTATCAATCCCCAATTCTCCGAATCCTCTTCGAAATACTCCTCCCTCCCCAGTGTACCTGGAGCTCCGGGTTGAGAAGCTGAACCCTGTTCAAGAATATCTTGGAACCCTGGATATCCAAACCCAGGGTTTAAAAGACACAAGAAGACTCCTAAAAATGAGGAATTAAAAATGAAATTATAACTTTAACTCTATCCATAAAACTACTCATATATTTTTTTAATTCGTGATTTATTAATTTCTTGCTAAGACAGCAGTTGGTGTTATTAAAATGTTTTGGAACAAAAGAATTGATTTCCCCTCTTGAATTTTAATTGTCTAAACTCTATATTTTAGTAACCTTATAGCCTAAACCTATGATTTTCAAACTTAAATTACTTGATCTATATGAATTCATGCGAATATCTATATAATAAAACAAGACATTCGTATATATATATATATATATATGTTGCGTATAGCCGGCCAAAAGGCTGGACCTTTTGGACTGAATTTTTTTGTGGACACTCATGGGTGGTAAGGGGGTGTCATAGGCTAAACAAAAATTTTCTAAATTTTCTAATTTTTTTTTTCCACGGGCAACGCCGGGCCCTTCAGCTAATATATTATGTGGGGATTATAAGATTAGAGAATGTGGAAACTTATCCTGCGAAATAAATAGAAACAATCAGTTTTATTTTAAGGCGTGTTGATATTTGAATCATTTGTTTGGAAAAAAAATAACAAACAATGTAATCTAAATGATCATAATTTAAATGGTCTGTATTTTATTTGATGATTTAAAAAATACTGATAACGCGCGCATGAATACCGCTAGTTTAATAAAGGTAAGATTACATAATAATACATATTTCATCATGCACATCATAGTCAAAAATACAATAAACAATAAACATGAAAACAAAGTTTAAATATTACGCATAGTGCTTTCTCCGCTCTAAAATAAATAGCAAATAAATTTAACAATGTTTCTTTTTATGTTCTTAACATTTCAAATTCCAAGCTATATTTATTTCATCAGTTTTTATTTTTTAACTAGTTTGTGAATCACAATATCTAACCTGTTATTAGCATAGTTAAGATCTGGGCTTGATCATGAAGCAGAAATATCTACATTTTCCTTCACTTCTCCCACTCTTCTCCTCTCCTCCTCTCTCCACCCTATAGTCCCAACACACACAGCTGCTTCCCAGACATAGAGATAGGATCTGGATAAAGTTAAGACTAGATCAAATCCTAATTATTTAGATCTCTATCTATCTACTCTCCTACCACTCCTCTAATCCTTGATTACTCCTTGATTACTCTACTGCTCTACTCATCTACTCCTCTACTCATCTACTTCACTACTCCTCTACTCCTCTACTCCTCTACTCCTCTACTTCTCTACTCATCTACTTCTCTACTCCTCTACCCCTCTACTCATCTGCTGTTATACTCCTCTGCTCCTACTCCTCTACTCCTCCCTTACTCCTCTAGTCCTCTACTGCTCTACTTCTATGTTCTCGTTGACAAACCGGATGATAACTGAACATTGAAATGTTTTATAAAATTATTTGTTAAATACTCTGTTTACATATCTGTACTTTACCCTCTTCACAGTGTTATAAAAGGTTCTTTACAAAATATTGTTAAATATCTTATATATTTTACTAAACACATTTTTACTCGATTCTAATAGTTCATAGTTCTGATTTTTTTATTCTTTTCCTCTGTATTAAAAATATGTTAAAAAATAATAAAGCTTATCGCTCGATCATATATACTTAACATATATGCTAGATGTAGATGGCCAAACGGCTGGAACAAATTGGCTGAAATTTTTTTAATAAACCCTTGGGTACTCTGGAGTTGACAACAGCAAAAAAATTAGTTTCTATTTCAAAATTTTAATGTAGAAACCTTTTTTTATTTTTTATTTAATTTTCTAGATCAATGGAGAAGATTTTATATTAAAATCTCTTTACAGAAATATACGTTCTTTAATATTGTTTTTTTTTAATTTTCTGTCTTCTTCACGAAATTATTTGAAAGGAATTGAGTTTCTGCCACAAACGCCTGATTCTCTAATTTAAATATTGTTGCAACCCAATGATATATTTGATATTTCAAACTATGAATCCTGTTAGATCAAATAATGTAAGTTTGAAATATCAAAGGTTTACATTATCAGGTTGCAAAGATATAGGGATTACAAAAATATATTTGTGGCCAAGACTCAATTCTTTTAATTTTATATCTAGCGCAACTCATCATTATTTACTATTGTGAAAAAATTTCTTTCACACTCCATAAAGCTTTTTTACTTTTTTTAACATTACAAATAAATCCATAATTTTTATTTCTAAAAGTTGTTAGTTCATCGTCGAAAAATACTAACAATCTTCCACTAATTAATATTAAATATAGTGTAAACAATAAATATGTAACTTTCCTTATCCTTTCCTTTCCTTTTCCTTTTATTTATATTCTTACATTTTTTTAGAATTGGGGGGAAATATTCCCACAACCTCTACTTTTAAAGGTTTTTAAATATTTTCTCATAAAACACTTTTGTATGTTTTTGTTATATTTCATAAATAAATCATTTTTTACTTTACTTTTACTAAACTTATCTAATTTATCTCTAAAGAACAAGTGTTTCTTGTTGGAAAGCAGATAAACTAGATTATATCTCCAGATTTTATTAGATAAATTATTTAAATTAGGTCAATTTCAACTCTAGGTATGCATTGTGCGTCCCACCCTATACTTTGGCCATTAATACGGATGCACAACATTCAAAAGTTCATTACTTCCTGAATTATCTCTTTTTGCGAAGGTGAAGCGAAAAAGATGTAATATAAAGTAAGATACATTAAGAAACCATTATATATTTCTTTACAAAAAAGTGTGCTGCATTTCCAGGGAGGATTATATAAAAATCTTTCTGCGTATTTTCTGGGAGGATTATATAAAAATCAGAAAAAAACACATTTTTCCCTTATTTTCTGTTTTTATAAATAAAATTTACGAAATTTTTAGCAAGCAAATATTTGTTGGGAAAAAACAATTAAAGGTCGTTTTGTCCATCTTTGAGAAGTAAGACTAGCTTAATTGTGTTCTGACAGGGTTACCCACAAAGAGAATTAGACTGAAACTTATACAACATGATCCCAAGGTTAAATTAGGTCGTCTTCTGTCATTTAATTTTATTATATCTTTAAATGATCTATTTCATTATTTAGAAAATTTCGCACAGTCGTCTCTGAAGTCTCATCCTTTATGAATAACCATGTATGTAATTTCAAAATTGGGTTTATTCTATGAATGTTTATATCAAGGTGAACATTGAACAATTCTTTACAGAAGAAAGCTTTAATATTTACCGGACGTATGTAAGATAATGGATTATCTAAGTTCCTGCTCCAAGTGGGTTTCGTTAACCGGTACCGGACAGGTGCAGATGCATCTGTTATCTGAGAACGATATAGCTTCTATCCAGAGAAAAGACGGAAGTTTCTCCACTAGGGTTTAACAGCACAGGAGAACCTAGTTTAGTTTTAATATGTTCAAGGTGAAATATATTGATAAATTAAACATAAAAACTTTAAAGTTGATTTATTCCCCAAAATTTAATAAGATTTGATGATGATTTAGCTCTCTGAAAGATGCTCATTCTTTTTAACTGCATCGCTTATTTAAAAATACATGCCTTGCTTAAATTTTTTTCTTTGTTTGGTCACGATTTTACTTGCACGCAATGTTTCTATAAAAATAGTTTAGTAAGCAATTCTTATGGAGAACATACCTTCAGTAAGATCTTCGTTTACTTTTCCTTGAACATAGATTTTTGACTAAAATGAGAGAAAATATAAAAAAAAACCTTTATGATTTATAAAGTCCTTATCACTTAACTTCAAAACTAAAAAAATTCGATTAAAAAAGGGAATTCTTAAATCATACGTATTGAAAAAAAGTTTCTAGTTTGCCGCAAATATTAGTCGTTAAAATTCGCAGCATCCCATCTAAGAATATTTATATGTTTTTTTTCACACTCGGGATTCAATAACTTCGGGGGTTAAATTCCCATTGATTCTAATTTGCGTGAGAGTAAATAATACAATTTATTAAATAAAACAAGCATAAGATTGTGAAATACAATATGATCAAGAATTACTGCAACAAAAGTTTGACTTTAGAAATCCACTAAAAATTATTTTAAAAAGTTCGGTTTTCTTGTTTCCATTACTACAGAACATTTTAATTTGTGTAAAAAAAATCATAATTTCACAATGCCAACTCCATCTGGTGACAAGCATTCCGAAGTCTCAAATTCTCCCTTTTCCCCAAGATCTTTCAATATGGCAAACTGGAAGTTGATGCTGGCCCACTTCGAACATTTTGTACATAAAGTTAATTTTAAGAGTTTTTTGTTAAATGTGCTATTGTATACTAAATAGAAATGTTGAAAAATCTATTAAAATAAATAGAAATGAACTTTATCTTCTGCAAAAAAAATTCGATTGCATAGATATCCCTTTAATTTTATTTTCTGTTCTAGATAAAACATATTCTCCTGATTCTGATCTGTATCCTCACAACCTTTCTACTATTCTCCTCTGTACCCCCGCCAAACTGCCCTGAACAGGTTTTTCAATTCTTTTACAATCGGTTTCACGTTCAGAGTCATGTTGAACTTATTTAAGTAAACCTCTCCATTCAAATATTACAGGGTTACTCACAAAGGATGAGACTGTGTAAAGGCGACCTGAAACTCAAGATTAAATTGAGATTTGTGTCTTGAATTTAGTCTTCAGAAACGATTTAAAGGGACTGTAAAGGAAAAATGAAAGGTGCAGTTTTGGCTGAAACCGGAGATCTCAGGAGTTGATTGAGACCTATAAGAGTTCTATCAGATGTTACTGTCTCGAGAAATTGATATAAAACTGTGTCAAATTTATACAAAAATTCATATATATGCAATATTACATAAAAGTAGTAGTATTAAACAGATTATATTCAACTAATACGCAACCAATCTGAAAACGACGATATCCCACAGGAGCCTGAGAATCTCAGGTTTGCTCCTATAATGATTTTTTTTTGCATTTTTATTAGATATAATTGATAATATAATTACAAATAGTCCGTTTAGTCTGAATTACGTCACCAGAACGTCAGCCAATGGCAGCGCAGTATACTGGTCACGTGATTTCCGTCCCTTTAAGAGCTGCTAGGAATCATTAATATAAGGAAACAAACAGCAGCACTTCGTACAGTCCTCTCTGCAGTTTCATCCTTTGTGGGTACCCCATAGATAAATAAATAAACATAGATAGCTTATGTACCCAAAATCACCAATATTTGTACAGTCCGCGAACTCAAACTTCTAGGGGTCAAAGTGCACTTCAATGATAAGCGGGGTGGTTTGGTGTTTTAATGGATTTCATAAACATTAAACCACTCAACTCAGGAGTGAATTTTATTTTGAGAATATCGATATATCATATTGACGAAAACTGAAGAAGGACATGAGAAGGACTAAACTAACTTAAATTTCTCTCTACAGAACTCATTTACACCACAAGTACTCAATAACATAAGAACAGCCAATGTTCACAACCGACCTAGTTAATCTATATAATATAGGAATATCTTTAGAACATCTCTGTACATTTATATATTTCAAGATGAAAAATGTCGTCTTATGCGCAATCTATCTTTATCTATGGGGTAGCCCTGTACATGCCCGTAAATCTTTTATTAAATAACGATGAATGAGATCTCGAAAAATGACTTATTCTGTCAATTTACTTTGTTATCTCCTCTACATAAATCCGCAAGTCAAATGTAACATTGTAGAATCACGTCGACAACTAATAATCAAGAAACTCTGATTTTCTAATCCCTACATGAATTATCCTTGTTTATATGAATTATCCTTGTTTAAATGAATTATACTTGTTTACGTGAATTATCCTTGTTTACATAAATTATCGTTGTTTACATGAATTATCCTTGTTTACATAGATTATCCATGCTTACATAAATTATCCTTGTTTAAATAAATTATCCTTGTTTACATGAATTATCTCTGGTTAGATGAATTAGCTCTGTTTCGATAAAATATCTGTGTTAAGATGAATTATCTCCGCTTAGATGAATTATCTTTGATTAGTAAATTATCTCTATTTAGATGAATTATATCTGTTTAGATTAATTATCTCTTTAGATGAATTATCTCTGTTTAGAAGAATTATCTCTGTTAATATGAATATCTCTTTTTAAATGAATTATTCTTGTTTACTTGAATAATCCTTATCTACATAAAATATCCTTGTTTACATGAATTATCCTTGTTTACATGAATTATCTCTGTTTCAATGAATTATCTCTGTTTAGATGAATATCTCTGTTTACATGAATTATCCCTGTTTCGATAAAATATCTCTGTTTAGATGAATTATCTCTGTTTATATGAATTATCTCTGTTTTGATGAATTATCTCGGTTTAGATGAATTATCTCTATTTACATGAATTATCTCAAATTAGATGAATTATCCTTGTTTACATGAATTATCTCTATTAAGATGAATTATCTTTGTTTACATGAATTATCTCTATTTATATGAATTTTCTTTGTTTAGATCAATTTTCTCTGTTTTGATGAATTATCTCTGTTTATATGAATTATCTTTGTTTACATGAATTATCTCTGTTTATATGAATTATTTGGTTTAGATGAATTTTCTCTGTTTTGATGAACTATCTCTGATTTGATGAATTATCTCTGTTTAGATGAATTATCTCGGTTTAGATGAATTATCTTTGTATAGATTTTAACGCGAGGAACTAATGAGAACCAGGGGGAGAAACTAAGATTAGGAAAAATCCCGGAACACCATGAAACTGAGAGCACTTCAGTGAGTTTAATCTTTTTTCAGATGATCTTTTTTCTGAAAATAAAGAGATTTAATTAGTTTTCGGAAAGTTTAAGAATAAACCCTTTAAACAGTTTTGGTTTAGGTGAATAGGGAACAATTTCGAGGGATGAACGGACTCAAGTCTCAGTATGATCTTGTCATCGTCGGAGCAGGACTCAGTGGAACTGTAATAGCAGAGAGAGCTACCAAACTTCTCGGTTTAAAGTAAGATCAAATTATATTTGATAACGATCCAGTTAAATTTGTAAGTGTAGGTTTAAATACAACGTGAACAGTCGCTTTGCAGTCTTCTCTTTTGTTTATAACTAGTCTATTTGTCGTAAGGTCAAAGAGAGTAGAATATATATTAGAGGGGAATTTACTAGAAAAAAATGTAAAACGGCCATTTTGTTGTACTGTTTCCATACTGCAGGTGTACTTCACATATTTGTGCTATATAACCTTGGATTATCATTTTATAAAAAATCTAAAATTAATATTAAATGAAAACCAAATTATGAAATAGGCTGGTTTCATAATTGACCAATGATCATTTCACATAGATTCTATGCCTTTCACTTTATAAATGATGATTTTCCGTTTTAACTATAAATCAAATGATTTTTATTCACCTAAGTCATTTAATAAAGTTTATTTAACAGCTTTAAAAAATTTGAAATTGAAATGGATAGTCTAGGGAACATATTGTATTAATGTACTCTACTGCATATAATTTGTGAACATTTAAATGATTTATACACTTTGAACTCCCTTTCAGGCTGAAAGTGAAAGGGACTGACAATATTCATACGGAGGGATTGTCTAAATTCCACTCTAATATATATTCTATTCTCTTTGCGTAAGGTACAATATACAGAGTTACCCATAAAGGATAAAACTGTAATGAAGACCTGAATCTCTTTTAACAAAACGATTCAAAGGATGTATTTGATCTCTCTCTGTGAATAAAGATGTTTAATGGTATATTAAATGCATCACAAAGGATGAATTTGATCTCTCTCTGTTAATAAAGATGTTTAATGGTATATTAAATGATATGACAAAGGATGTATTTGATCTCTCTCTGTGAATAAAGATGTTTAATGGTATATTAAATGATATGACAAAGGATGAATTTGATCTCTCTCTGTGAATAAAGATGTTTAATGGTATATTAAATGATATGACAAAGGTTGTATTTGATCTCTCTCTGTGAATAAAGATGTTTAATGGTATATTAAATGATATGACAAAGGATGAATTTGATCTCTCTCTGTGAATAAAGATGTTTAATGGTATATTAAATGCATCACAAAGGATGAATTTGATCTCTCTCTGTTAATAAAGATGTTTAATGGTATATTAAATGCATGACAAAGGATGAATTTGATCTCTCTCTGTGAATAAAGATGTTTGATGGTATATTAAATGCATTACAAAGGATGAATTTGATCTCTCTCTGTTAATAAAGATGTTTAATGGTATATTAAAAGATATGAAAAAAAAGAAATAAGTTTACAACTGCAAGGAACCATAAATGTAAAGATATTTTGATCTCCAATTTCAGCTCAATACCTTTTGATTCTATTCAGGGTTTTGATAATTGATAAAAGAGATCATATTGGTGGAAACTGCTATGATTATATTGATGAGCATGGGATCAGAACATCAAAGTATGGTGTACACATCTTCCATACAAAGTACGACCGGGTTAAAGAGTACGTGCAGCAATTCTCAGACTGGATTCCCTATGAACATAGAGTTGTTGCTAAGGTAAAACTTTTTAAAAACAATGCAAATAAAAATCTAGGTTAGGATATACCAGAAAACAATAAAAATAGATGAGTAAAATTGTTATGTGTTGTAATCAGAGCCTGTTCTCCTTTGGTCTTCTGACTCAGGATTATTCTGAACGAAACATACATAATTCTTGAAAAGACGACATCTCGTGTCCTATGTGTCTATGGTTTTATGTTGTACATCGTAGAAAAAGGGAATTTTATACATACATTTCGGGTGTTCAGAATAAAAAAAAAGAGTTAGCATTTTTGCCCAACGAAATCTGTGAAATAAAACTAAAATTGTGGATTCTGAGATAAATTGTAATTGAAGATACAGTGTTACCTTTAAAGGATGAGACTGTAATTGACATGAAACTCTTAAAATTTGACGATTTCAAGGTTAATACTCCTGTCTTGAAGATAGTCTTCTGATAGTCTTTTTAATATTTTGGCAAAGAAGAAAAGTCTGTTTATGGTTGCAGAGAATTATAAATCTACGGAAACAGACATAAACTCCGTAAAGGACTTTCTAAAGTCTCAGGGTTTTGAGTATAAAAATAACAAGCGTCAATAAAACACAAAAGTTTCATCATTTTAAATGACTAGCAATGTTTGTAAGGAAGCAGAACTCGGAGTTTTAGTAAAATTCGTTTAAAAATAATTCTAGGTTAAAGATATCTACGACAACATCAAGTATGTCCCTATGCCCCCGAACCAGGAGACCGTGAATATGTTGTTTAACGAGAATATCAGCAGCAAGGAGGATATGGTCAAATGGTTGAACCAGAGAAGACCAAAAATGGCACCAGGTAAACGCTTCTAAATATGTAATATTTATAAATTACTAGCCGAAGGACCTGGCGTTGCCCGTGGAATTTTAGAAGCATTAAAAAAATAGAATTTTACAAAAAAAATCAAATATTTTTGGCCTATGTTACCCCCAGGGTTTCCATTGGTTTCCTAACAAAAATTCAGCAAACATTTACATTTGACAATTATAAGATAAGCTTCAACTCTTCGTTTCATTTCTCTATGCTAAGATGAAATTAACTTTTACTTTAAACTTGAATAATGTTTGTTTTTTTTATCTGCAGGTCATGAGCCCCAGAACGGTGAGGAGATGGCCCTGAGCAGGGTGGGGAAGGAACTTTATGAACTTCTCTTTAAGCACTATACAAAGAAACAGGTAGAAATCTCAAGAGATAACTTTTGGTTTTGATAGCGCTTAGCCACAAGAAATTAACTTTATGTTCAGAGTAAACAAATTTAAATTAGAGGATTTAATTTTGATTCTGTGTCTGAAATCCACCAAGATTGATAAGAAAACGATTTTTTGTTGAGTTTGGCAACTGTAACAGAATTAAAATACAAAATGTTTTGCTCAGACAGCTGTTTTTTCATTTCACGTCGTTAAACAGGTAAAACAGTGAAGGCCCTAATATGGAACTTTAAACGGCCAAAAAGGGTTAGGTTTTGACTGGGCATGACTTTAAAAAGTTCTTTCGAAAACTTGTTTCTTAAATCTGGAAAAGTCCCGAATGCAAACAGGAAAACCAGATACTTTGCAGATAAAAGCGATATTTAAGCTGTAAGTCTGGTTGTAATTATAAATTATCGATGCTTGGATGCTTTCTTTGCAAACATTTGTATCAAATCCTTATTTGCACATTGGGCTAAATATTTGTATAAAATTCTTATTTGCACAGTGGGCTAAATATCCAGCTGAATTGGATGCCGCAGTATTAGCTCGTCTTCCCTATAGAGAGAACACAGATGATCGGTAATTATTAGAATTAGTTAATATTTTCATGATAGACTGATTATCATTTATCTGAATGTTGAAATATTTTATAAGAAACATCTTATAAGATCATTAGTTGTCTTATGAATTAAGTTGAAATACTACTTAAATAATATATATATGTAGTGTAATTCTTTTTTAATAAAATGTGAAGTTTAAAACTGAAATATATATATATATATAATATGAATACCAACAATTATAGACATTTTTTTATTTTAGACATTTAGATTGATCATTTTTTAAACTTTAGATGATTTGATGGATTAATCTGCAATCTTTAGAGATTTTGACGAATTTACTGTAAACTTTTGATATTTTGATGGATTTTTTGTAATCTTAAGAGATTTTGATGAATTTTTCTGTAAATTCTAGTTATTTTAATGGATTATACTCTAGATATTTTGATGATCCATGGCAACATCTTCCCAAGAACGGATATACAGCTATGTTTGAGAATATGCTTCTTAAAAATGATAAAATTACAGTTCGGCTAAGCACAGACTATTTCAAGTAAGTAAAAACATTATCCTTAGACCTTTTATTAATAGCAGACATATAGTGTGAAATATCAATTATTTACGAATGCGTCGAAAAATAATCGATGAATATTGTTTTTAATATCTGAATGATTTGTTTGGAATTAAATTGATTTTTTTACGATTCGAGTTGAATGTTGCATTTTTCTGAATTTGTAAGAACACTACGTTCTTCGGTATTAGTCGTTTTTAACAATTTTCTCCTTATAGACGCAACAGATAGAAGTAAGCTTAGTAACGATCAAAAGCGCTTTTTTATCGCATTAAGCCTATACCCCCTTTAATTTTTTGCGAACACTCCCTTTAATGAATAAATTTTTGCCTTCTTCGCAATAAATTCAACTTTAAAAACTTGATTGCGATCAATACATTATTATCTGAGATGCTTCCAGAGCTCTTCTCCATAGTCTTGCACTACGAGATGCTCTAGTTCAACATCTATCTGAGAAACTTACTCAACTCAATATCTCGTTTAGCTGCTCCAACGCAATATCTATCTCTTAGCAATCTCTCAACAACAGCTTCCACATTTACTGCTGGTTCATTTGCTGCTTCTACTGTAAACCTAACTGCTACTGTGGCTGTTCCGGAGTCTCCTCTAATATAGCTACTCCTACAATCTGAGATGTTTCAGCACTCCTAGCTGCTTCCTTTGCTGGACTGGCAACTGGTCTGTGAAGAATCTACAAGGAGCAGCGTCTCCTGCATCAAAGTCTCTTGTTCTTCAACGGTGTCTACAATAGATCAGTGAAGAGCTGTCTGCAAAGAGCAGCGTCTCCGTACTCAGAATCCTCTGGTTCCGCTGGTGGTTCCACAACAGGTCTGTAAAGAGCTGTTCCACAATTCGCGGCGTCTTCGTTCTCAGGTTCCTGGAAGTCCTAGCTCCCATGTGGGTCTTGGATATCCTAGTTCTCCTATGTGTCCTGGATATCCTAGTTCTCCTATGTGTCCTGGATATCCTAGTTCTCCTATGTTTCCTGGATATCCTAGTTCTCCTATGTGTCTGGATATCCTAGTTCTCCTATGTTTCCTGGATATCCTAGTTTTCCTATGTGTCCTGGAAATCCTAGTTCTCCTATGTGTCCTGGATATCCTAGAAGTCCTGGTTGCTCTGTATCTTGGGTGTCTCTGTCAATAGAACCAACACGAGAATATAGAGCTTCTGTATATAAACACCTTAGCTGCTGCAAGGCTCCAGTAACTCTGTTCATAGATCCAGCTGGAGAATAAAGACTGGATCCTCTAGCTGCTCTGTGTCTCTAGCTTGTTCTCGGACAGAACCACTAGGGAACACAGAGCTTCTTGTAATATCCTCAGTGATGCTAAGGATTCCGAGGATGTGTATTCATGTATGAAGGTAGGGGAAAGAGGCTGGCGTCCTCCTTAGTCCTCTGGTAGACATGGTAAGATATATCATTCTGAGAGCTGTCCACGAAGTACAAGTCCCCAGGCCTTGAATAAACGGAGCTAAGCTCTAACGTCTATCCTTTATAAGATCCTTGAGCGTACTGCTGATCCTATTCTCCAGGTTCTCTACTCAGCTTAGATTCAGACAAAGGGTTGAGGGGTTTTAGTATCTGGTCATATTCTAAATATTAAACCATGCTTTAAATATTACAACACCACCAGTTTGAAAAAGGTATAGGGACTAGAAAATAAAGTTTGTAGCAAGAACTCAGTTCCTTTGCAAAATAAGGAGAAAAAAAACAATGATTTCAAACTGCCACCCCTAGGTCACACCAAAAATAATTTTTTTTCTTTTGTTTAGTGTTAAGGACGACCTGCCTGCACATAAATTATTGATATTCACTGGTCCTATTGATGCATATTTTGCCTCTAAAGGTTTACCTAAGCTGGAGTATAGATCTATATACTTTGAAACTGAATATATGGAACCAACTGTACAATTCTTTCAACCTGCATGGGTTCGTATTATACATTTGACAAAAATAAAATGAATACTTTAACAAATCTAAATAAATCTCTCGGATAGAGAAATGCCTAATTTATAACCAGTATATAGTGTAGGTAGTGAATTATCCATCTCCAGATGTTAACTGGACCAGGATATCGGAATACAAGCATGCTCCAAACCAACCTCCAGGAGTTAAGGAGTATCCGGGTACTGTAGTTTACAGGTAGAGAACAATGTAGAGAAGAGGATAGAGAACTGGATAGAGAATAGCATAGAGAACAGGGTAGAGAACAGGGGGAAGAAAACTGGATAGAGAACAGGATATAGAACAGGATAGAGAACAGTATAGAGAACTGTATAGAGAACAGATCATAGAACAGGACTGAGAATATGATATAGAAAAGGGTAGATAAGAGGGCTAATAACCGGGTAGAGAACAGGGTAGAGAACTGGATATAGAGCAGGATAGAGAACATAGGACAGGATATTAAACAGGGTGGGGAACCTAATGTAGGCCAAGAACAATATTAAGAACAGGAGAGAGAACAGGATAGAGAACAAGGTAGAGAATAGGATAGAGAACAGGGTATAGAATAGTATATAAACAAGGGTAAAAGAATAGAAAACAGGGTTAAGAACAGGATAAAGAACAGGATAGAGAACAGGACATAGGACAGTATATTAAACAGAGTGGAGGCCGAGAACAATGTTAAGAACAAGAGATAGAACAGGGTAGAAAAAGGATCAATAACTGGATAGAGAATTGGAGGGAGAACAGGATAGAAAACTGGAGGGAGAGCAGAATATAGAACAGGATAGAAAACTGGAGGGAGAGCAGAATATAAAACAGGATAGAAAACTGGAGGTAGAGCAGGATAGAGGACAGGATAGAGAACAGGATAGAGAACAGGATAGAGAACTGAAGGAAGAGCAGGATAGAGAACAGGATAGAGAACAGGATAGAGAACAAGATAGAGAACAGGATAGAGAACAAGATAGAGAAAAGGATAGAGAACAGGATAGAGAACAGGATAGAGAACAGGATAGAGAACAGGATAGAGAACAGGATAGAGAACAGGATAGAGAACAGGATAGAGAACAAGATAGAGAACAGGATAGAGAACTGAAGGAAGAGCAGGATAGAGAACAGGATAGAGAACAGGATAGAGAACAAGATAGAGAACAGGATAGAGAACTGAAGGGAGAACATGATAGAAAACTGGAGGGAGAGAAGGATATAGAACAGAATGGAGAAAAGGATAGAGAACAGGATAGAGAACAGGATAGAGAACAGGATAGAGAACTGAAGGGAGAACAGGATAGAGAACTGAAGGGAGAACAAGATAAATAGATTATTATATCAGGGAGTACTCAACAGATGTAGGAGATCCATACTATCCAGTTCCAAACAAGAGAAACCAAGATCTTTTCCTTAAATATCAGGTAGACCTGAAATAAAGTTATCAAGAATGGAAAAAACAAGGCAAAACTTGATTCTACTAGACTAAATTTATCAGAAACTAGACTAAGCTAAAGTAGACTTGACTAATCTGAATTTGACTAGACTAGACTTATCTAGACTAGAATAGATTAAACTTGACTAGATTAGTTTGTACTTGACATGAATAGACTAAACTTGATTATAATAGATTGAATTTGACTAGAATAGATTGAACTTGACTTGAATAGATTGAATTCGACTAAAATAAATTGATTTTGACTAGAATAGATTGAATTTGACTAGATTAGTTTGATTTGAATAGATTATTTAATTAGACTAGAATAGATTGAACTAGATTAGAATGACTTGAAATTGACTAGAATTGGTTAAAATTAATTAGAATAGCTTGAACATCACTATAATAGATTGAATTTGACAAGAATAGATTGAACTTGACTAGAATAGATTGAATTTGACTAGAATAGATTGAACTTCATTAGAATAGATTGAACTTGATTAGCATAGATTTAACTTGACTATAGAAAATATTGAACTTGACAAGAATTAACTTATCTTGACTAGAATAAATTTAACTTGATTAGAATAGGTATAACTTTACAATAATACATTAAACTTGACTAGAATAGATTTATCTTGATTTGAATGGATTGACTTAAATGGGATAGATTGAACTTGACTAGAATAGATTTAACTAGATTAGAATAGATTGAATTAGACTAGAATAGATTTAATTTGACTAGAATAGATTGAACTAGACTAGAACCATTCTAAAATAAACAAAACAAAACTGCACAGAATACATATAAATCTTAAATTGATTAAGTACTTAATAATCTATTTGATTGTTCAGTCCTAGTATAAGATTTTTGGACCCCCACACTTCCTGCCCCCCTCCTATCAATTTTAAACATGACCTAACTTTCAACTAATTTAAATAGTTTAATATTTTTTTAATTATTTAGGGTTAGATTAGATTAGGACAATTTCTGGACCGAGCGCTACGACTAGAACAGGTTGGGGGCTGAGCGCTTCAGCATTTGATTTCAACTATATTCATCAATATTTATCATATATTTTGTATTAATTAGTTCAGGGTAAGGTTAGGTTAAGACAATTTCTGGACAGAGTGCTGCGGTTAGGACTGGTCAGGGGGCCGAGCGCCGCGGCTAGAATATGCTATAGGGCCGAGTGCTGCGGCCTCATCAGGCTCCAAATATGACTTAAATTTCTGTCTACAAAAATGATAGGATGGGGGGGGGGGTTCCAAAAATCCAATGCTTAATCAATTAAAAGATTAAAAGGAATTTAGATTATTTTCGATTTATTTAAAGGAACTTTCACTGAAAGAGAAAGGAGTGAAGTTTGTTGGAAGGTGAGATTATTATTTTTCTTTTTTTTATACTTTGCAGATAATATAATGGTTAGCTAGCTATAAATATCTATATGATTGATCATTTTTTAAACTTTAGATGATTTGATGGATTAATCTGCAATCTTTAGAGATTTTGACGAATTTACTGTAAACTTTTGATATTTTGATGGATTTTTTGTAATCTTAAGAGATTTTGATGAATTTTTCTGTAAATTCTAGTTATTTTAATGGATTATACTCTAGATATTTTGATGATCCATGGCAACATCTTCCCAAGAACGGATATACAGCTATGTTTGAGAATATGCTTCTTAAAAATGATAAAATTACAGTTCGGCTAAGCACAGACTATTTCAAGTAAGTAAAAACATTATCCTTAGACCTTTTATTAATAGCAGACATATAGTGTGAAATATCAATTATTTACGAATGCGTCGAAAAATAATCGATGAATATTGTTTATGGAGTTTTTTGATAAAGAAATCAAGGATTATGATTTCTAACAACACGGAAACCTATTTAATATTATCAATTGTAATAATGTTAAACATCAACCAAATGTTATTTCTTAATTTTTTGTTTTAGAGCAATCATAGAGCAATTGAACACCTGTTATAGATAATTAATATGTCGGAAAACAGTTTCTCATCTGATTTAAACTTTGTTACCATAGTTAAAACACTTGTTTACCTGTGTTTTGTCTACTTCTCATAGAAAAAATGCTAGTTCTATTAAAGAAAAATGTTCCATTAATATAATTATTAATTATTTTAAGCGACTGCACCATTGAGGAAAGTCTTAAACGCTTTTTTGAGCAGAAAACTTTTAAATATCCGGAATGAGATTAACTTATTTAGGATTATAACAACGAGAGAGAGATTTTGTCAAATTTAAAAGTTGTCGGCTGTTTTTACAAGAATTGGATTTTAAAAAATATAGCATCGTGAATATTTAAAAACTATGATATGTTACCTGTATTGGCATTGCCACATCGTACTGGAAAACGCTAGTTTTACTTTAGTATACAGGGTTACCCAGAAAGAATGAGTCTAAAAAGACTACCTGAAACTCTGCCTTAAAATATAAGCTTTTAATGGTATTATTTAGTGATTTGACAAAAAAAGAAACAAGTTTTGCAGGGAATCATTCATATAAGAATACAGACAGTATAGGTTTCGTAGAGTCGTCTCTGAAGTCTCATCCTTTGTGGGTTACCCTGTAGGTAAAAGAGAATAATTTCGATCAATTGCGCGGATCTTTGCGTTAAATTTTGTTTCAAATTGAATTTAGGAGATATTTTAGTTGTTTATGCGTTTCTGGAGTCCCCAGCTGAGGCTGAGGTTAATAAATCTTAAAACACTTTAAGAGATGTATATGAAGAAAATATTACACAAGATAGCTACCATATCCATCACATTTAACGATTCGACCATGGAGGAAGTTTTCTACCGACTGTTGGACGTTTTTGATATTTCACGAGAATCGCCGGGCACTAGTTTCTAATTAATATAGTATAACATGGTTACAAAAGTCTCTAATTCATTTTCATCGTTTTAGTCTTAGATTAACATCAACAAAAACAGTTAAACCTACAAAAAAAATCCTCCAAATTGAGTTTGGTTTTTCAGTGCTTTTAAGTTTCTTGCTCTGCTGAGTTGTTTACTAGGTTGCATAACTCCTGGTAAATGAGATTGAAAGGTTGGATCTGAATACTCAGAAGATTGTGTCAATCCTTAATCAAGTGTAGAGCTAGAGATCCTACAACCATGTCCATGTATACTGTAAAATTCATTCTAGATTTACTAATTCTAATATATATTATAAAGAATCAATAATAAACAAACTATTTAACCCTAAACAGGTGATGGGGAGGGGGGTTGCATATAGTACCCATTTTCGTAATTTCAACTTCGCTTTATTTGACATAATATTGCCTTGAATCTTCTTGAATTAAAAAAGGAAATTATGAATTTTTTTTATGAATAGAACGCGCAGTAGCCCGGATTAGTATACAAGTAATTGAGCGGATACAGGTGTAAAATTTGCATATTTAAAAATTCAGTAAAAATGGATATAATGAATGTGTCACATGCAAATATTTGTCAAAAATTCTTAACAAAAACAATATTTTAATATATCTACTTTTTGCATATTTTTAAAACAGGGCATCTTAACCTTTGAATTTTGAGTTACAGTTCAATTTTACAAAAATTTGAATTGGCCAATGCTCAATGCTCAATGCTCAATGCAATGACAAGTGACAATCTAGTACGTATATTTAAAGAAGGAGGCAAGCTACCCTACCAGGCTGTTAAAGAACACCCCCCACCCCCCCCAGTGGGGTATCAGGAGGGGTCAACAATATTAAATAATTATAAATTGAAATCATTATAAACCAATGCAAGCAACAGTTGATACAATGTTTGTAAATAAACAGATTTAAGAATACATTTAAATTGTTCATGCTCATCATAAAACACAAGGCATATACATTTTAAAAAGAAGATTGTGAGGAAAACCAGACACCCCCCC